GAAATATGTTTCTTTTCTTCACCCAAAGGTTTCGAGTAAGAGCGCAGAATAGGACATGTGAAGGGGAGTGTCGCTGAACATCTTGAAATGAACGGTGTTTACTCGTGACTCTAATCAGCGCTTGACTGAGCACGATCAACTACCGCAAAATACCGTACATTAATGCAATGTTTGCGTCCATCCAATGACGATGTCAGCGCGTCGAGCATTTATCTCCAAGTCTGGCCCATCCAGTATTAGCGAACGCGTTGCCGAATTCATCTGTGAAACAAAAGCTCCAAACTCCACGGGCAAAAGGGTTGTCAGCTCAGTCTTCCCACCACATCCAAACATCCATCCAATGCTCCTTCCAATTCCCCTACCCGATGTTTCCATGCCTCGTTCTCCTCCTTCAAAATGCTGACAACGCTCCAAGCTTCCGACGCTCTCACGCCTTCACAGTTCGTACAAGAATGAACAGGCATGCCTTTTGCTGCAGGCTGACCCTGGGGCAAGCGAAGAAGCCCAATGTGTGCCGTCGATGCTGAGACATGGAATTCTTCTGTTCGGTAGACATCTGGCGAGTTCGTAGTCGAGGCGGATGACACGGACATATTGGGCGATCGAGCGCCGTCCCGTCTTGAGAAGACGCTATCGGCGGAGCTATCGTCTTCCGACTCGAACCCAGAGTCGCTGACTGTGTTGGAGCGCATGAGGCCACAACCGCCGCTGCTCGGAGAAGTAACGTCCCCAACGAATCGTACGGTTCTCTTTCTCGCTTCCTCTTCTTCTCGGCGCGCTTGCTTCTCCTGTGCTAGCTCGTCCACCAAATTCATCATGGCTTCGTCTTGCTCAGCGAACTTGGCTGTCATACCATCGAGTTGCATCTTCAAATGTCTAGCACGTGTCTCAACGCCTTCCGACTCTTCCGCTACAGTCTCCTTCTCCGCCATCATATCGCGCAGTGCTATTGTGCGCTCTTTGTAGGCCGTCTGTAATCGCGATAGCAAACCCTCAGCTTGCTGTTGTAGATTTTTGAAAGAAGCGGGCGAGAAGGGGTTTGGAGGTTCGTTGGGGAACAGGGCGGCGCTGACGTCCATTTCGAGAAGCTCATCGCTGAGCTCGTCCGGCAGCGGTATCGGTTTCACCAAGGAGGCTTTGCTCGAGAAGAAAGAGAAGCGACTCGCCATTGCAGGCTTTGGCATAACCTGCGTAGTCGAGAGCCGTTGCAGCAGGTTAGTAGCTCGTATGTCGGACGATTCTGCGATGCTGTCCAGAGGATCACTCTTCTCCTTCGTTGGCGACGGTATGATTCCAACGCTGATAGGTTTAGATTCGCCCTTAAACCAACCCGCGAGCTTTCCAGCCTTCTCTTCTGACTTGCCTGTGAGTACAGAGAATCTATTAGATCGCGTTGGCGATGACTGCCGCGACTGCTGGGGAGAGGGGTGGAAATCGTCTAGTTGCGAGGAGGGGTCAAGTTGAGGTATGACGGACAATTGAGCAGTGGACAAGTTTCTGGAGTCGGAAGATCGACGTATGAGAGGTGGCAGGTCACTGGTGGATCGGGCTGGCTCTGTGACGGTTCGGTGATGTAATTTAGTCGGCTCGGCGATAGGACAGTCAGCTATAGATGCGTAGCGCGTTGGTGGTGCTATCGATACTGTGTCCGGTGGTTCAAGATAACGCTGGGAGGCATGCTGGGGTAGACTAGAAGCATATGGGTCGCTGGCGATGTCGCTCAAAGTCTGCGAAAGTGAAACTGTTTTGGGTGGTATGTAGGAGCGAAGCGAATTTCCGGTATTGGGAAAGACCTGGTGCATTGGCGCAAACGGTAGAGTGAGAGTAGAACGGTTTCCTTTGTGGGGCGTCCCTGCTAAACCAGGCCTGCGGAATGTCTTGGCTTCCCAAATTCTCCGCTTCGCACCAATAGCTGCAGCTGTCCACTCTCTTGGATGCAAGCTAGTGGAAGAGGAATGGGGGCTTGTGGGGGAAAGTTGGGGGAGATAATGCAGTGTTCGTTCGCCGGTAGATGATGCCGGATAAGCTTCTGACGCAAACGGCGAGGGCCTGACAGCTTCGGTGTGATGCTGATTACAATAAAGTGACGAGAAGATATATAGTGGGCGAAAAGAGAATCGTGAAGGTGAAGAAAAGGACGAGGACGTGTCTTCACACAGCCATATCCATATGGGAGGTTGGAGACTGCGTGGCAGGAAATGGAAGGCGGGGAGTTCAGCCTTGTCGCATCCGGCTTAGTGGCCGTTGACTTGAGGCTTTGAAATTAGCGTCGGCTTTTCACTTCTCCGCTATGTCTTGGCATCCTTCTGACGATCAACAAATACGTTTGGATAACGCTCCCATTTAAATATGCCATTGCCTGCCCTTACTCAATATAATCTAGGAGAAGTTTAGGATTCCCATTGTACTTATGTCATTATGCGTTGTATCTCTCGCGTCGACCCTTCGATTATGTAATCTCTCTTTTTGTCAATTTTACATTCCTCCCTATCTTTTATAATGTCATTTGCCATTTTCTATTCTACCCTTCGATTCTAGCAACCATTTGCGATTTTTCTGTAACTCCTTACAGAACTATCAGATATGTGGTTATATAGAACGGACGGATTGATTCTCCAAAACCTTTCCGGCCAGTCCTAAATACAACTACAAATTCTTAGTGTGGCTGGAAAACATCGCTGCCCATAATCTAGACTGTTCCGACACTTTCCATATCCATTTATTTGATCTATTTCATCTACTTCTTTTCTAATTATCACGCTATTCTCCTTTAATTCTACTCTTCTATTATATTAATCTTTTACATCCCTTTCTCAAAATAAGGCTGTTTCTACAATCTCCTGCCTGTTTCTGCCAGTCTAGCTTATCTTTCCTAAACATTACGCCATTCTTCCCCTATTCTGCCCTTCTGTTGTGTCACTCCTTTGCATTTGCTGCCTATAACCTACGCTGTGTTGAAACTCCCCTGCCCATCTATTCTGCCATTTTGTCCATGTCTCGCCTAATATCTACGCCGTATCTTGCAAGTCATCCCGAAACGTATGCTATGTTCATTGCTTCGTCTCAGTCACTCATGCCACATTGCTGGCTCCTTCTCCATCATTAAAGTCTATCTTTATAGCTTCTTCCCACCATCCCCGCCAGTTCTTGCTCCATGGCTCCAGCTCAATGAGCCAACTGACCTCCAGGCCCCCCTCCTGAACGACATGTTTGGGGTCGAACTCGCAATCCAACAAGTCGACCTTTACCCTAGCAGCGCACCTTCGAGCTCGTTTCCCTAGTATTTCTACAAGTGTGATCGCACGATGGACGTATACCGTTGGATAGTCATCATCATAGATGAAACATTGTCCGCCCGTCTTTATACCTCTCAGACCCTGGCCAAGCACGTCAAATTGGATTGACACAAGCTTAGGTGGTAGGCGAACACAGACGGCCACCCAATCGCTGGCGGCGCTGGTGTCAGCAAGGCGATACACTGTTTTGCACAGTCTGAAAGTCAACGCTCGAAGCAGGCTTTGTTGATAAATCGATAGCCGGTCGAGGAAGTTTTCCAGAGCTTTTGGGCTCTCGAATCTGAATTCGGTCTTGGTGAGGTAGTAGTGTTCGAGTTCGACTTTCGTGCTCGGTGACGCAAGTCGCATGCCGTAGAAGCGAGATTTATGGTCCCCCCAATAGCGCGGATAGAAGCTTCTGGCACTGGATTCTTCGGTGATGCATTCACTGCGATAGTAGTTGGCATGGTCTTCGAACAGGACTTTCAGAATCTTTTGACGGATCTCCCAAGGGAGATAAATGAGTGTCCCGAGTCGTTCGCCGCATTTGTCGTCAATTCTTCGTGCCGAGGAGAACCACTAAACCATCAATTCAAGTCAGCGGTGTTTTGTTACACGTGCAGTCTGAGCCACGAGACTTATTGGAACCACGAAGTGGCTAATAAAAGGCGAAGAAGTATAGCTCAGAGGGGATTCTTACCGTCCAACGCTCTCTAGTCCGCTTGATGCACTTCGCTTTCATACCGGAAAACGAAATCCGGGCCGCACAGCCCCGGCAGCCCACGGACCAGTGAGCAGGCTCCCAAGGGCATTCGCAGCCGGCAGCGCCGTCGTCGAAGGGTAGAGTCTCGGCGCATCCGTCGGTCAAGGTGGGATTGTTTTGGAGTTCCGCCAGGCCGAGGACCACGCGCCGCTTAATGAGCGATTGGCCCGCCATGGCTACGGGATAGAATAGGTAGACGGGAGGTAGCGTTGGCAGCTGCGTATGGTTGAAGAAGATATGGAGGGGTTGGGAGGGTGCAGAGTCGTAGAACGTGTCAACAACGCAACTTGAATGTTGTTGATCAAGAAACGAGCGTGATCGTTGAGCAATGAGCGAAGATACGAGTACAGCCGTAGCACAACACAGGCAGCAATGACGGAATACACGCTCGGCCTTCGTCGGTCGGATCGTGCATATCCACCAACGGAGCAGAAACCAATACCGTCCCCTGTTCGACCAATCAGTCTTGTACCAATCCTATCGTATAAGGGAAGGGTACCTCATATGTATATATCACTCCAGTTCCAAAAATCCCAAGGAGAAATGGTTCCCAATCCAAAAGACCCGATCCATGTGATCCTATCTACATGCCGCACGCTGCCCTCGAAAGGCGCTGCTCCGCTTGCGTTCCTACCTTTCAAGCATCTGTTTGGCCTGTACGTACAAGGAGAGCATGCGTTACGGACGGCATCACTGGCCTTCTTTGATTTTTACTGGCGTTTTTATTTCGAATGCGCAGTGGATTGCAATCGCGGAGGGGTGGGTGGGTGCAGTGGGGTGGAGTGGACTGATCTTGGTACATACTTTGGGATTGAAGTGTTTGCAGGGTGGCGTTTGGTTGGTAGGGTGCCGGATGTGCATGTACTGACAGAAACAGATATCAATTCGTATTGAATGAAGGATTGACGGCTGGATCTCTGGTAGATCTTGCTCGAGTGTTCTATGTACAAATAATGAAACTTTCTTTATACGCAATTTTTTTGGTCGTAAAAGTTCGATGTTCTGCATGAGTTTGTTTATAGAGCAAGTTTGCATTAGGCAAGCATAGTGTAAAGTCAGATGCATTGTGTCTTTCTAGGCTGTAGTAGCATCTCGCGACAAATAAACCTCAATCGTACTTTGATAAAGGGGCTTGCGCGCAGTACTATACTATGGAGAGCACGGAGACTCTGGTAACAATATTATATTCTTGCTGCTAGAGCTAGCTTTGATATATACAAATATACTCCAGTCTCCGTGTTTCATTTTCATGACTTATGATAACCGGTCGACACACCACCTGTCGACACACCACCTGTTGACACACCATGTTGGCTCAACGCAGCGAGTAGCGTTCGACACACAACCGCTCGACACCAGACTTTGGACCTGGAATCCATATATAATCCATCTTCTCTTCTCACTTTCGATGTTCTTCTTCTTCTTCTCTTTCTTTCACCATCGTGAATCCTAGACATACTCGCTCTCAAACCTCTCAAAATTATCAACCAAAGCACCTCTTTCACAACAACACAATTCCCTCTCTTCCTGCAACACAGTCGACCACCCTTAAGACCTTAACGCTTTCTCTTGAACTTGTTCCTCTTCTAACATACACCATCACCTTTCAATCTGAGACTCAAGTGTACTCGGACCCTCACTTACATCATAATAATGTTGCTGTCCACCGTCTACCGCTACCTCCAGGGCCAGTCAGGCCTGCCCTCAACACTGCCAGCTAGAGGTTCTGTTGATATGGCCAAGGATGAGTCTCGAAAGATACACCTCTTCTGCAAGGGTCTGGAGCACTTCCGTGCAATATTTTACACAGAGCCAGAGGTAAGTGAATCACTTTCCTATATCATGTATATTGTTTTAACTCACTTTTGTAGAATGAGAGCACAGCTTCTGTTGCTGTCATGCAGGACCTGATTTCCCCTGGCTCGACGAGTACTGTCATAGGAGCGATAGCAGACCAGGAGCCTATCACTCCTGCTACTTTTAGGCAGGATCAGGACGCTCCAGGCACAACGAATTTTTTCAAGAAGATGGCAGTAAGCCAGGACCCTGCCGCCTCTGCTGATACCACCCAAGACCAAGAGCTTCTTAGCTCAACAAAAACTCTCACGGATACCGTGGCAGACCGGAAGCCACGCAAATACGTGATGACAACGGGAGAGGACCTTTTCCAGTCACTGTTTGCGACGGAGAAGACTCCGCCTACCTCTCCGGGTAGTGTAGGGTCAGACAGCACATTGGTGGATCCTTCGTCACGGAAAGTATCACCGGCGGACTCGGAGATCCGTGCCAAGGGTAGCCCCATCGCTGTCAGGGATTTTGCCTATGCCTCTTCAGATAGCAAACCTGTGCTCGATCAAGAGGCTGTTATCGAAGAAGACACAAAGAGACAGTTGTTGAAGCAGCTGAAGAAGAAAACGGCCGCGGAGGAGAAGGGTTCCCGGAAGGTCGTAAAGCTGACGGCACGAAACAAGACTCTCGGTGCCCAGCTGAAATCAGCTAAATCAAACGTCCAGAATAGAGAGGCACAAGCCGACCTTGCAAAGACACATGCAAACGCCATGACCTTGTTGAATGTCGTTCTGAGACGAGTGGTGCAGGATCTTAGCAATGAGCTAAGTCGTGAGAAGAATGGCGCCCACGTCCAGGGGACTCAGTCGCAGGGAGAGACAACCTGGAGTCAACAAAAGGAGGAATCGCTCGAGAATCATCTCGAACTTGCAGACGAATTCCGCACTAATGCCTACAATCATATGGCACGTTTGAAAAACGCTTCGGTCGAGCGTAGCCAAGGGATGGACGACATAGATGACATGGACGGCCAAGGATCCATTCAGGAAGAGACCATGTCCCTGATGAGCGAAACAGTGGGACCGAAGGAGTATGGGTCTGTTGCTGTCGAAGTCCTCGATCAAGAAGCCTCAGAAATACCACATGTTGAGTTGGTTGGATCCAACTCTTCTACCAGTGGGAGCGAAGGAACCCAGCCGGAAACCAAAGTCGAAGGGTCGGAAGGTAGACCAGAGGAAAAGGATGGCGGCGTTTTTGAGGCATCTGGCTTGGACCCGGCCGCGCTTTCGGGCACTGCCAATTCAGTGACTCCCACAGTTCAGGAGGACTCCGAGAAGATGGATGCCGAGGAAATCTCTTGTGCGAAAGAAGCTCTTGACGCGGTCAAAGAGCACGAGACAGAAGATGACAAGATGGAAGAAGAGCAGATTGGGAGCCAGGGTTTCTCTTCCGAAGAGACAACCAATCAAGTCGAATTGAGCGTGGAATGGATCTTTCCCGGCCCTAAGCCCGAAGAGTCTGCTGTGAGAAAGGGCCAGGCAATGGCAGATCCGATCGCCACGAATCTTGAAGATGCAACGCCTGATGAAGAGGGCTTGAGTGAATCGAGCGGCGAAGACCAAGTGTCTGAAGCGGACGACAATGGTTCCTCTCCGGTGGTCAAGGACCGTGTCTCAGGGAGCGACTATGATGGAAACCCTGCAGTCCACGAGCCTATCACGGACGATAACACGAAGCACAATGATATCCGAGGTGTGGATACTGGCTGTGAAGGCTGTCTCGATAGGGATTATGAATTCTCCGAAGCAGCGGGCCCAGCGACGCTATGGGGGATTTTCCAAGCGAATCAGCGTGAGAATGAGGTGGAGGATAGGGCAGATGTTGGTGAGGAGGCAGCTGGTGTCCCTGAAGCAGCAGGTCCAGCGACATTGTGGCGGATCCTCCGGTCGGAACAGTGTGAGAGTGAGGTGGACGACCAACATGGTGCTTGCGATGATGCAGCAGACGTTTCTCAAGTAGAGGATCCAGGGCCGGCCACCCTCTGGGGCATCTTGAAATCGAATCGCGAATCCTCAGGTGACGTTTTCTGTGAGGAAGGCGTTGGAAAACAAGCAGGAGCGAACAACCACACAGTTCTCGATGAGTCTGAGAAAAATGGTTCTGCAGATCTTCTGGATGAAGACGACGCAGAGCTCATCCCCTCGTCTCATGATGGTTATGCGCCAGATCTCAACGACGACACCAACGACCTATACAATGTCAGCGACGATGAAGAAGAGATCAAGGAGCCACCTGCCGCCACGAATGCTCCCACTGTCGAAGAAGACCCAGCTCCTAGCCCTCACGGCTCTGTTGACGGTGACGAGGTCGATAACGAAGAATTCGACACCCAAGAGGTCATTGTAGAAGAGCCTGTCAAGGCCATTGGTGCAGACTCGCTAGATGCTGTCGAGCCTATCATGGAGTACCTGAAGGTTGTTGAAGAGGGGGATCACGATGTGGAGAACGGTACGGTAGGGACCGTCCACCTTGAAGTGGGTGTGGTTTCTGTCGGTGAAAATACGCCAATTGGTGCGGTCGAAGACATGAACGAGTATGTCGGTAATGCGACCGTGGTTCGGGTGGAGAAGGCTGCACAGGAGGCCAACGCATCCGGGGCAGGCGCGATGGTCGAACAGCTAGGGCACAGCTGTGAGGAAGACATTGTCAAGCTAACGCAAAACGATGCTTGCTCGCTCGTGCTCGTCCTTTGCTGGAGGGTTCTGAGGGGGAGGTGGATGCAGAGGAGGGGGACGCATTGGAGGGGTCCGCAGAATCTAGAAGCTTACAGGTCATCTGCCAAGATCCCAGTGGTGAATATACCCACGAGCTTCCCAACGTGGTTGCTGGAGTACTCACCATCACCGCAGCCGAAGATGATGGTACAAATAGCGGGGTGGTTCATCCACAACCTCTCACTTCTCCCGGCACTCCCCTACCATCGCCACGTACCTTCTCGCCCCCACAAGCCGAAAACTTCGATTTCACTCCCCGAATGTCGAAGCCGATGGGGGTGTCCAAGACCGAGAAGCGTAGGGTTGAGCGCCAACGTGCCGCAGCCAAGAAGAAGGACGAAGCAGCGGTGAAGCGTCGGAGAGAAGAAGAGGCTGCCAAGACGCCAGAAGCATTGGCTCAGCGTCAAGCCGAGGAGGATGTGAGGCTGGGAGAGAAGTGAAAGTAGCAGGCTGCAACGGAGAAGGCCATCGGTTTGCAGAGCGCTAAGTAGGGAATTGTGGTTGGGGTTGGGCTTTGTTTCGTTGAGGGGAGGCGACTAGCGCGAACCGGATAGGCCGATCACTCTTTCGCTACAGCTCGCACGGAATGGAACACGGATCTTCTTACGCTTGCTAGTGAGAAATTTGGTGAGGCGGATGCATAACGGTCGATCGTCTTGATACTTTGCTGTTGGTGATCGTGTTTCATGTACACTCCAGATTTCTCATTCAATAGAACCTTCACTATGGCTTGGACTTGCATCTCGAACGTGACTAGGATTGACTGCATCTTTCCAGTCAAAGCAGGAATGGTAGTGGATAGCTTCTGAAAATTACGAAATGGTGTGGGTGACTTGCATCTTGCATAATGCATCTTCGTATATAGACTTCCCTTGCTCTAATGCATCCACGACGAACGTGACCAGAATTGACTGACCCTTCCGGTCAAAGAAGGATGGTAGTGGAGAGCGTCTGATAAAGATCAATCTGTGTGGGTGACTTGCATCGTGCATAGACTTCCCATCCTGTAATGCATCCAAGATGAACGTGACCAGAATATCGACGGGATCCTTCCAGTCAAAGAACGCATGGTACCGTTGCAGAGGAGAGCTTTTGGTAGGTAGTTACGAATTGCTGCGGGAGGCTTGCATCGTGCACAGACTTCCCACGCTGTAATGCAACCATGACGTGCATTGATATGCATGCCTGTGGTTTCAGAAAGAATGGTTGGACAATCTGTCTCATGTACACTTTTAGGTCCGCACATACCACCCCTCTCCCAGTCTATCCGTTGGATAGCTTTATGCTGTAGGGCGGCTACATTTTCAGGCAAACGTCTAGAAATTGTGGCAAGACCTGGTGAGGAGCAGGAAGGGGCTCTAGCGGTGCGTCCGCCCTGCATGTTTCAGCTCATTTCCGACACCGAGGATGTTTCCAGGTTGGCGAACGTACCAATAGTTCTCACTGCGTTTGAAACCATAGCCTGCCAGATCACCTCTTGTCTCAATGCCAACCAATCCGTGAGTTGAAACCTAGTGTGGACTCCGGTAGACCTGTGTGATAGACCAATGGCTATATTACGGTTAACAGCGAACAGTATTGTCTCGTGATGTACTTTTCGTCCAGTGCATCAAGATTGACATTCTCCCCTTTGCGTCCAAGAAACCATCGTCTTTTAAGAACTGCCAGCGCACTCATCCTCAGTTTTCTTTTCTTCCTTACCAACAGCTGTTTTGACAATCCTCATCCCACAGCTCTCCAAATCTGCAAATATCTTCATCCCCTACCTCTGGATATCTCCAAACATCTTCAATCCTTCACGTCTTTTCTGGCAGCTTATCATGGATACAGCCTGTACACTCGAGCAAAACGGCGTCCGCTCGAACACTTACGAGGAACTGCTGGCCAACAACCAAGCCCTCCAAGACAAGAACACGGTTCTACAAGAGCAGCTTCGCGTTGCCAATACCGAGAACCAGGAGCAGTATGTCTGGGCAGTGTGCAACTCCACAGTCTTTCAGAAGTGGACAGCCTACTGGAATGGCATCCAGCAGCTCAGTCGCGCCATGGATTTGAAGGTGCGCGAGCTGCGTCGACGGTTGGCCAAGAGCCAAGGCGACCTGGCCAAAGAGCGTTTCCTTCATGCTAGAACAATGGCTGAAGTCCACCGCCTACGAGACGAACGGGATAATGCCCGCCGAACCGCTCGGATCTTTCCAGCCGAGCCCGGTCCTGATACGGTGGCCGGGGGCTCGATACCCGACTTCACACTGTTCCCTGGGGACGGTTCCCTAAACGAAGAGGACTTTGAAGACTTCGAGGAGTCTGTGGAAGCATCGCCGATGGGGAAGAATCCCCATGTGTACGGCAGACCTGATGGTTTCTTCCCGCGACTCTGACGTCGATGAGGGGCATCTGGGTTTGGAGTTTGGACACTAGGGGCTATCAAAGTTACTTCTGCTATTGCGAATAGTAACTATCTGATATTGCAAGTAGTTACTAGTTCCTTGATAGCACCTTACTATTAGATAGTAACTATTCAAATCTGATTCGTAATCATAAATACCTATTAACCGTTTTGATGCATAGGGCCTTGGCGACAGAGAAATCTTCTCCGCACAAATGCCATACTATTAGCAACTCAGCTAAAAAGCCTAATCCCGGGGGTGTCTGCTTGACTTCCAGACACCCCTATTTGGACCTAAATAGGGCCCGGTAGGGACGTCGCAGGGCCCCGTGAGGGCTGCTGCTAACACATGCGTATACCTATATCTATACACTATAGTCACTGCCTCTTCCCATAATATTGCTGTCGCTATTTCTCATCACCCTTATCATATCTACCCCAAAGACGTCTCGCAAGAAAGCTCTTTCTCGTCATGTCGATAGAGAGAAAGGACTTAACAGAAGGAAGGACTTAACGATAGCGCGATATATGTATATAACACTACGTTAGAGCGTGTTTTTTAAGACGCAATAGTAACTATTGAGTGAAATAGCAGGTCCGGACCTGCTACTTCAAAATTATTTGCTATCTACTATTCGTAGGGCTGACGGGTGGCAAATGGGGTCAAATAGTTACTATTTGCAATAGCAGAAGTAACTTTGATAGCCCCTACTTTCACGGGGGAATTGGCTCATGGTGGTCTTGTACATAGGACAGATGGAATGATACGGACAGGATGTTTGGGTTAGCGGCGCTCGAGCTGTCGCTAAAGTTCGGCAGCAGGCCTGGAAATGGCGAATTACTAATTCATACCCCAAAAGTATGGATCCTTACCGAATCATACCCCTAATTACTGAATCATACCCCTACACCAAATTTCACCCAAATATGGGGTATGATTCGGTATTTGCAGGCCTGGAAATGTTGCCACAATTTGGGTCTTAGATATCATTTCTGCCATACCTTCAAGGTCCTATCCCCAGGAGAATTGATATACCTCTTAGATTGAACCCCTAATAAAGCTAATAATTGACTTCAAGAAGCCGTGTATTACAGACATTTCCAGCTCGGTTATAAGTTGAAACGGTATACTTTCTAGGGTTTCATTTCTCGTAATGTTAATATATCTCTGAGATCGACTTTCAAGAACATTACTCACAAACATTGCCGTAGCATATTTTGCTCTTGCAGATTCATGCTGAAGGCACGATTGTCCTCGAAAAATCAACCTCGGGGAAACCGAAGATATACACGAGAAGCACCCAAAAGGATATCAAACGGAGTCATATCCTACAGGCGTGAGAGCCGCTGCTATCACCCCCGCTACCGCTACCACTGCTTCTCCCACATTCAACCCCCAATTCTCCCCATCTCGGAAGCCGCTCTCGTACTAATGTCCTTGGTCGCTGCGATCTCACCTGTTGGTAAATACCTGGGTATGCAGTTACTGCTATAATGAGACCTATCACTAGTTATGGTATTCCTAATGATGTCTAAGGAAGAAGGATATCTATGTACAGGGAAGGCCTTCATATACCAATGACTAGGCCGAATGAGTACTAGTGGTAGCGAGTGTTGAGTTACCGACACTGGCAAAAACCGAAAAAGATGAGGCTACTCGCATGCTATAAAAACATTCCTTCTTCGAATCCTTCTCCGCAATGTTTTTATAACTACAATTGCTCCCTTTACTATAGGCGTAGATCTGATTATACTAGGCGTATTTCTAATAGCGATAAGAGAAAGATAGACCCTCATTGTCAAGGAAAATGGATGACTGGGTCATGAATTCATAGTGTGGTGTAAAAGATGTTGATTATTCTATGTGCCTGCAGGACAGATATGTGCGGTGTCAAGTCACGCTAGGCCCAATTGAATGGTAGCTCTGGAGGAGGCCTTGGCGTACCGTGACAACATGCCCGCAAAGAAAGAAAAAAAGACACGTCCTCGTGGCCTATGTCATTGACCAATCAAAATGCATCGTTGCTAGTGGCCATGATGCTCCTGATTTACCTCCTCATCTTCCTCATAGACCGTATAGCCATCCGGTGTGACGTCAGCGAGATATGCGTGGCCTTTGCGTGCAGAGGTCCAATTTATCATAGTAATTTGGCTGTGATCGTCGCAGTAGATCCTTCTCTTGTTTGCTCATTGCAGTGATGTGCCATACTAATGTGATATTGCCTAGGCATGCAGAGATAGCAGGCCAAATTGTAGTGTCGTTCTCCACTTGCTGAGTGGCGATCTGACGTGGGATCGTGGAGAGCTGAGCCGTGTTCTTGATGACGGTGGCCTTGTTGTCGCTTGGTTTCTCCGCAGTGTTCTCCGCTTTTGCCTGCTGTAGTGACTTCTCTTGCACTGGCTGAGTGGATTGGTGTGAGATCGTGGAGAGTAGGCCTGTTGTGTCACTGCTGCTGATGACTGTCTCCGTAATGTTCTCCGTAGTTTTCTGTTGCTGTCTTTCCACATTTGCCTGTTGCAATGGCCTGTGCTCTTGTTCCTGCTTTGATGGCTGGTGCCGGCCGTGGCATTATTATCTTTCTCCGCTTGGCTTTCTTGGGTTGAAATGCTTGTTGAATGCCTGGCTTTGTATAGCATTACTTGAAGCGCTGGTAGAAGGATATTCGTGAAGGAGGGGGTTGTTGCTCTCTAAATGCCGCCTGAGGGACCGCGAATTATCGGGCTGTTGGAAGACATCGATGTGATGTCAAATGGCCTATTAAAAGGATTGACTTGATTGGCTGGTTTTGCGTAGACTGAATCTAGCTGCGTAGCGGAAGCGCGGGGGGGCTGACTGTCGGTATATCGTGACTGCGGGTTGAGTGACGGTATAGACGACTTGGAAGAGGACCTGGGTTAGGTGTTGCTACCAATTGTCAAGGAAATGGATGACTGGGTCATGAATTCATGGTGTGGTGTAAAAGATGTTGATTATTCTATGTGCCTGCAGGACAGATATGTGCGGTGCCAAGCCACGCTAGGCCCAAATTGGGTAATAGCTCTAGAGGAGGCCTTAGCGTACCGTGACACTCATAATCAAATCCCTGGACAGCTACATCAAGAATGCACCGTCCATATACTCCATACACCTATCCTTAGCCTATAGCCTTCCGCTTCTCCGTATCACGAATGTAGCCGAGCGGAGAGGCGAGCCAAGAGGCGAGAAAATGACCATGCTGGGAGGCGAAAAGTGGAGCGAGAAAATAAGCATGCTGGGAGGCGAAAGGTGGAGCGAGATTTGAAGTATACTGAATTCGAGCGGTGCTGAGCGAGAAAGTAGGCTCTCTGAGGATCGATATAGTGCGCGGACGTAGAACCGCAGAGAGTTGGCTCGTGTTGACAGGGCTGCTGCTTGTAATGCTCTTCTTCGTAGTGCTCTTCAAAGAATCCTCTGCAACGGCCTGTTCCTTGATCTCGAAGTCTTGAATGACTTGGTAGAGCGAGGGTAGTAGGTGTGGGACTCGGTAATCTGGGCCGCAGTTTGTGGTGGGGGGGGGAGGGAGCGCAGTGGTATCCTCAGGCTGTTGTTGCTGAATTGACTGTATTGACTGTTGTTGAGGCTGACGTGGAGGGCCGTCGCTTGGGGTGGGGGGAGGGTGGACTGGAGTGGTATCCTCGATAATTGGTTGGTAGGGCTGCTGTGGCTGAACAGGCTGCTGCGGGGGGAGAGGAATAGTGTTCTCCGGTCGATAAGGCTGATGATAAGCCGGTTGCGGGGGGAGAGGAACAGTGTTCTCCGGTCGATAAGGCTGCTGCGGCTGAATTGTTTGCTGCTGAGGGGGGTAATATTGTTGCTGCTTTGGTGGAGGACGATCCTCGTCGTTCAGTGGCCATGGGATGTCTTCTTGGACTATATTGGCCAATGATTCGGACATTAAAACCCCTCGTCCTTTCTTAACATAGACTCTATTAGCTCGTAGGCAGTTTCGTAAGCCATAGAGAGTCTTTTTGGAAAGGGTCTCAAAGTCCTCCTTAGCGAATTGTTGAAATTCCTCAGCAAAGATGTCAGAGAGGGCGTCCCATTTGTTTTCATTGTACTCTTGTATTCTCCAAAGAACGAATTGTTCAAGTCTCTCATTGGTGTCTGTTGGTTCGGCTCCTTTGGATAGCATGTCCTCTAGTTGATGTAGAGTCATAGTGTCAGGCGGTTCGACTGAAGAGTCAGGTTTCTTGCCCTTGGTGTCCATTTTGGGTGTGTGTTATGTGTTGATATGGTGTGAAGCTTGGTGGTGTTTGGTGTTTTCTGGGTGTTTTCTCTGCTGGGTAGGAGTTGTAGAAGTAGAAATTGTAGTTCTATTCAATCAATATTACTCGAGAGCTGAATTGATTGAGTAACTATAGAATCGTGTGAAGCTATCGCGGCGATATCGAGGCGGACTTTCTTTAAGAGTATGGCCTTGCTAATCTGTGTACTAGTATTGAAGTATACTGATCAGTGTTGGTAAATACCTGGGTATGCAGTTACTGCTATAATGAGATCTATTATTAGATGTGGTAGTCTTAATGATGTCTAAGGAAGAAGGATATCTATGTACAGAGAATGCCTTCATATACCCATGACTAGACCGAATGAGTACTAGTGGTAGCGAGTGTTGAGTTACCGACACCACCAAAACCTTTTCTTCCAACGCGCCCACCGCCCCAAGCCGTAGCCCCTGCCCTCGCCCCACAACCACTCGGCACCATCCGGTGTCGAGCCTCGCGATCGTGATCGTTCTCGCAGAGCTCGTGGATACCTTCGCCGGCAAGCAACACCAAAGTAGGAAGCCGGTGGCACGTACATCGTCGTACGCCGTTGCTGCTTAAGGGTCTGGCAGGGCGCCTCGATGGCTTGCGTGAGGTCGACTTCTGCATGGAACGGCATGCCTATTGGCTGCCTACCAAGGGCGAGGTCTATGGCGCCGAAGCTGGTGGCGTTAAGCAACGGCACCGCCTGAGCATCCCGGTCGCTTTCTTCTTCCATCTCGTCTATGGGCTCGATATTCATTCCATGCAAGCATGCTTGTGAGCGATCGGTTCAACAACGAGCACTGCTTTGCGTACACCGCTGCAGAAAATGGTTCGAAACTTACCAATGGCGTCCTGCCTGAACATTATCCCGAGCTCCGGCAGATCCCTCCAATATACCCCCCAGTACGGGAGTGACGGCGCTGGTATGCTCGTCCGTGACGTTTGGCAGCTTCGAGCTTGAGTTTAGCAGGTCGATTTAACGCTCTGCGATGTCCTTGTTGCCACCCAAAGCTCTTATGACATCACGGATTATACCCCAGGGTGTCGGGACAAATGAGGGTTTCACACCACGCTTGAGCAGTGTATCGTATATTGATGCAATCGTGCCCGCAGCGCTGTTCGAGTCTATTTTGCCTTGGAGAAGAATCTTGGTGGTGTCGATTGTACGCTGATGCTCTGGGTCTTGGCAATACTTGCCTCGTGGGGCGGTGTCAGCCTAAGGGTCTATAGACATGCTGCTGGTGTAGACTATGCTCTAGCTTTTGGACGTGGATACAATGATAGCAGTATCATGAGGCGGATTGAATGCTTGTTTCGGCTTGCAAAGGGAGAACGTAGGGGGGAAGACAGCGTTGGAACAACAGGAAAAGGTATTGTTTGCTTCAACGACTTGAGCGGTTGGCAGGGGCTAAGAATAGAAAAGCTACCTAGTAATGCGGTGTAGCGCGGTCATTCGAGGTCTGATGTTTAACAATAACCGCCGTTCTGGCTCGAAGATAGGGTATATAGGTGTAAGGTAACGGGTACACATGTGAAAGAACGGGGTGTAAAAGAGTTGATTCCCCGAAGGATGGGATGCTATGTGATAGAGAAGACGGTTTGGACCTAACGGAAGCAAGCCCTTACATGTCCTGAACGCCTCGCTTTGGATCAAGCGTCCCATATGCTCGCTAGCACAAAACGAGGGCAAGAAGTCGTGCACAATTTGGAACCTCCAAGGGCCAATTTCACCCAAGCCCTGTAGCCCCCGAAACACCTCCTTTCACGCCCTGCGCAGCATTCGTGACTTTCCCAGCGTGCTTGCCAACATCAGCGGCCTCCTTCGGGTTGCCCACATCCACGCCGCTGGCCTTTCCAGCACTGCCAACTTTGTCCGCCGCACCGTTCATATGCTTCGTTGCTCCACCTTTCGTGTATCCACCGGGATGCTTTGGGCCCCCGTTGACTTCTTTCGGCTTGCCATTCTCTTTGGCACCACCCTCCGCCTGTTTCTCTTCTCCACTTGGGTCGCCTTGAGGTCCACCCTGACCTGTAATGGAACCTAGCTGTTCCTTCAACCCACCAGGTCCCCCTTTCAGATCGGTATGGATGCCCGGAATCTCTTTTTTGTTGAATTTCTTGAGAATATAATACCCGCCCATGCCCCATAACCAGATGAACGTCGCTCCTGCCGTGGTGAGGAACAAAGTAGGTAGGAGTATGATGAGAGCGAAGCCGACACAGACGACGATGAAGAGGACGGCGCCAACGAGACCAATGATCAAGCCTGCGAGCAAGGCGAAGACGACGACGGTGATGGTCATGACGATGAAGAGGCCGAGAGGAAAGCCGGTGAGGGCGATCTGGGATGCTATGAATGACTACAGGCCCGTCAGCATCTGTAGTCACGACAGGGTAATAGTAACCAGAACGAAGGGATCCTTACAGCCAGCATGGGCTTCTCAGTCGCAAACTTGGATATTCTGGCCATGAGCTCGTTCCGCTTCTCTGGTGGGAATATGCTGTCCAACCATGCCGAACCCTGGTTCAGCATGCCACCGACTGAGCCTTGAAGGCCACCAGCGATGCCGCTGATTGCTTCTGCCATGGTCGTCGATGAGGGCAGTGTAGTAGATTTTGAGTGACGTTTGAGCAGGATATGGGTTGTTCTAGCCTGAAGAGCGAAGAGAGGCAGTGGACCTAAGAGACTATTCTCTTGAAGAAGGGTTGAAGCGTTGAAGAAAGACGGACGTGAATGAAACTTGAAAGCCTAGAGCGCAGGGGTGTTATTGGCGCCACGAGCGGCGAAGTCGCTGCCCATACTTAGTGTTTATTGGCTACCAAAACCTGGATTTTTAGACGCGCGTGATGATTGGCTACTGAGCTACGTCATATTGCATTCAGCCTTACAGATTTGCTTCTTACGACGTGCAAGGTCTCTCGTCCTGTCGCCAACGCGACATTGCTGTATCATGAAACATAATCGGTCTGATGCCTAGAAACGATTTCTATCTCCACATCATGGAACCCGGGAATGGCTGGAAGTTTTGTCGGCTGGCCAAGCTCAATCCCTACGAATGCCTCATCCAACATCGTTACCATGGCGCTGGACACCGCTAGAATCCGCAAAGAAGACTCAAGGCCTTTGAGTCTTACCCATCCCCAGAGATCAAGCATCAATGACGTGTGGAATGGCTTGTACCGAGGCTCACTTACTCTCACTCCGCATCGTTGAAGCACGGGCTGCAGTGATCGGAAAGACTCCGAGTGGGCCCGATATCTATGAGAAAATTAGGCCGCGAATTCGTCATTGGAAAGTCTGCTTTTCAGACTTTGTCACAGTTGCAACCCCTAATGTTGATTCGCTATTGTGGCATCAAATTGAGGTATCGTTCTTGAAACAACCCCGTTTACGATTAAAATAACTTCATGTATGAACCTTCAACGACGAGAATATCCCTTGTTGATATGAATTTTGTGAATATGTTAAGGACGTGCACCGCTCCAATTGCCCTTTTCTTCTCCTTCGATCACCCAAACGCTCAACCTCTGGTGGGTGGGAGCCAAAATGCATCGGCTGTTCGATCTATGTCTCCGCAGTCGCCCCCAGCAGCGTCGCTATCCACATTGACGAACAATTTGTACGAGAAGATGAGACTATTCCTGTTATCGAGAAGGAGACATACCATGCAATGCTCATACAGCTCCGAAAATCAGCTATTCGTACTGTAGTCAATGGACACGCCTGTGGACTCCAGAGTCCTACCCGGCCGCCACGCATCACTCCATCCCACTCGCCCTCTCCATCTCCCTCCTAGCCTCCGCCCTATCCCCGAGCCACTTCGACCCATCGTGCTCGCGCTCCAGAACCCTCGCACCCCTCCCCTCCCGCTCCAACCGCCTCACCGCCCGCTGCAAGTCCGCGTTCTGCCGCTCCGCATGGACCAGACGCCACCGCGTCTCCTCCGCGTCCCAGTCGCCCACTTCGTCGCCGTTGTACAGCGGGCAGAAATCGCCGCGCAGCTCCACGGCCCGCAGCCGCCACTGCTGCGCGAGGCTGTGCGCCCGCGTCAGTTCGGCGTCGAGGAAGGCGATCTGACCGCTCTGGCTGTGGAGGCGTCGCGTGAGTTCGTCGTCGGCGCCGTGGGCGAGGAGGCGCTGGATCTCGTCCGCTTGCTGCGATAATTGGCGTTCGAGTTGTTCTTTCAGCTCCTCGTGCATCTCTTCGCGGATTTCGACTTTGGTGTTGAGATGGTGGTTGATGTATGTGAGGCCGTTCAGGCTCTGTTGCAGTTGGCGTTGCTTCAGTCTGTCGGCCTGTGCGGTGTGCTCGTCCATGATCTTCTCGGCTTTCAGGTCGGCGATTCCCTTCTCGGCCTCTAGGACGTAGCAGTGGCGCTCGTTGATCATTTTGATCAGCAGCGCGTTGTCTTTTTGGATGGTGTCGTTGTCGTGTAGGAAAGCCTTGACGGTATCATTTTGGAGAATCTTGCCCTTGAACATTCGAAGGATCTCATCATTCTGTTGTTTCAGAATAGCTTTGCCTTCAGTCAAAGCTCTGATCATGTTGACGCGGTGGGCCAACTCTTTTTTCAAGCCTTGAATATGTCTAGCGGAGTAGACGTCGTCAACAGCTCTCTCCATTTTCTCCTCCGCGAGCTCCACAGCACATTCTGCAGCACGCCTCTCAAGCTCGGCGTGCGCTTCATCCTTTCGCTTCAACAGTCCATCAATATGTGCTGTGCGAGCTGGATTATCATCCTCGGCTGCAGCACGGTAATACGCGTTGGCCGCGTTGCAGTGGCCCACTTCGAGCTGGGCGAAGTGATTTTCGCCTCTCAAATTGTTGATCTCTCCCTTCGCCGATTCTGCTTCCGTGGTCAGGTGTCCAATCACTTCGCGCGTGAAAGCCAAATTAGCTTTTAGGGCTCTGTTGTAGTCCTGGAGCTCCTTGACGTCTATCAATCTTTCTTGGTTGTCACCATCAAAATCGATCATGGCTTGCTGCGCGTTGCTGGTTTCGAATTCCCCAATAGCTGCTGGCTGCACGGCTTGTGCGCCCGTCTGTGACTCTGTGAATTCAGGTGCTGAGTCTTCCAGCAGTTGCTGCTTCAGCGCTCTCTGGTGCTCTCGATTGTCTTTCGCTGTCTCATTTCTGGGCTCCTTGGTTTCTTGTTTGTCGTCCTTGGCATAGTTGCGACCGCGGTCTGCATCTTTCACTCCGCCGACAGCCATTCCACGAGAGTCTTCGGCCGCGTTGGTGGGTGCAACATTATTGGCAGACAGATCAACGCCACCTTCGTCCTCGTCCACGCTCTCTGCATCAGAACCATCAGCTGATTCAGGGTTGAGGCCTGGCTGGATCTCTTTTTGAACCTTGTTTGTCTCCTCAAGAGACACCTTGAGATCTTTCATTTCCCGCTTCATGGCTCTGAGCTCACGGTTTCGCAGCTCCAAACGTCGACGTGCCTCGCTACGCTCTTGGTGTAGTTTCTCAACCTTTGCAGCGTGTTCTGTCTCAAGGTTGTTGACCTCGGCTTGATGGCCGATTTTGATCCACTCCACAAGAGCCGCCCATTCCGTGTCCGCCTTTTCCGTTTCTCCGCTGTTGAGATATTCGGCAAGTGCCTTCTGGCACTTTCCGCTCGACCCTCTATGCTCGTCCACAGCTTGATGGAACTTGATGAGGGAAGGGAGTGGGGATGTGTCTGAGTGGCGGGGCGTATTGTAAAGGGTATCACTCGAGGCTCCCGTAGCGGGCGACGAGGACGAAGGTGGTACACTATTAGACCGACGAAGGGTGTTGCGGTCTGTGTGTGCCAAATTTAGCTGTGTATTTAGCCATGGTCTGGAAAGCCTACCAGTGTTGAGCCCGTCCATGGAGGTTGGTGTTGAGTTTCCAGAGCTTGAAGAATGTGTCACTCCACATGGAGCCGATGTCGCAATTCCCACAGGATCCTGTAGTGGGGCCTCTTTTTGGGCCTCTTGGGACACCGGTCTAAGAGAGTTGACAGCACGGTCCCGTGCCCCAGCTGCTGCGAGCTCTTGAGAGGTGTTGTCCCAGACTTGCATTTCTTCATCAACACCAACATGTGTTGGAGCAAAATCTGGCCTATTCTCTGTAGATGGCAATTCAGTCACCTCTGCAGTGAGATTCGGCAGTGCTTTTGTTTCAGGCTGGACATCCTGAACATGGGCTTCACACGCCATTTGGGCCGCAGGCTGGGGTACACCATTAGCTCGGCACAGGAGTTCTCAGGTAAAAGGTTTGGGACTATAGGCATACCTGCTTCTTCTTGGAGAACGCCTTTCTAAAATTTCCACCAAACTTCTTCAACATGTTGGCTTTGGGAGTCTCCTGTTGGATCTTTGACTGTGTGTTCTTGAACATCCTAGCCATTTGTAGTGCTGAGAGGGGTCGATGAACCCGAAGCCAGTCAGGATAGGGGGTTGAATGTGACGGAGACAAGCACCGCAACTTAGCACCAAAGACTTGCAAAGTAGGCAAGGACTTGAGCTCCAGCTTGAAAGATTACTCTGTGATAGTCTGGGGTAAGTACAGTGGAGGCTTTGAGCTTTCCAGAAGGCTTGAAGTTTGGTATCGAGGGTGATGACGGGTGGTGTGAGGAAAAAGGAAGATGTTTGAAGGTAGGCTTTATATATATATTGGCAACGACACAGAGTACTAGCGTAGCCGATATACTTGAGTCATATGACTCCAACAACACAGCTTCGAGGTATTACATTACCCAAAATGGCCGAGTGTGCTGAGGAGCCGCTAGTGCTCGACATAGCGGCGCTGAAGCATCAGTTTTCCAAGAGACGATAAGGAAAGCGCTTGTTAAAATGTCTTATATGTTTATATAAGGATAATGTGCCTAAACGTTCAAAAAGATTAGAAAGGTAAATATCTTTGTATTTGAGATGTCTCGTTCTGGAGGTTGCGTTGTCGGAGAAGACGATGTTCGTTTCCAGCACCTTCTTGTACTTACGATGCACGGACAGCGGCACAGTAATTCGTTTGGGTTACGCAATTACTCGCAAGAAACCTAGGCTCGATTTGACAGCTGTGATCTTCGTCTGTGTTGACGTTCTGGACTCAATTCGGTGGTACAAGTCCGCTTGTCCTTGTTCTCATCGACTGTGTTTCCTACATGCATAAGTCGAACAGCGAACTCAGTGTGTTTCTTTACCACAAAGTTGTGCAAATACGGCAAGGAAGGAGCCCTGAGGTCTGTCACTTGTCTTTGTAGAATAATGAAAGACGCGTAAACCGAATTAAAAAAGAGCTTCCCTCCTTCTCTCCACCAGTCCAAAACTGTGTTCCTTTTCAAGGGTACCAAGCTTCTTTAGGTCGGCGTTAGTACAACCTTGGTCCCATGCAAGTTACAGGCCGTGAGGGCGATGCTCTCCGTCCACGGCCTGTCATCCCTACTTTCCACTTTCGCAAATCTTTGCATCAACCTGACTGTCGTATACCCTGCTTCCGTAAGCGCATACTGCTGCCCAATGCACACTCTCGGCCCGCCGTTGAACGGTAAGTATTCCCACGTAGGCCGTATATGTTCCCACCTCTCCGGCTTGAACTCTTCGGCGTCCGAGCCGAAGTATTCAGGACGGCGATGCATGGCCCAGACTGTGTAGTTCACGAGTTGGCCTTTGCGGACTAGGATGGGAGACTTGCCCTTGGGGCCGCCGCCAACCGGGAGGATGGTGTCGGTTGTAGCCTCGCGGCTGTTGAAGGGGATGACGGGATCAAGGCGGAGAGCTGTAAGGGTTTAGCTATATGGCCAGGCACAGTTAGTGGACGGAGTTTGCTTACATTCGTTTATTACTGCCTTCAGGTACTTCATCTCTTTGAGCTGCTCGAAACTTGGTCGATTCCCATGCAGTGTCTCATCTATTTCCCTCCGAAGCTTATCCCAAATGTCAGGTCGTCTTGCGAGAGTGAACCACATATTGCCCAAGAGACTGGCAGTAGTATCCCGGCCAGCCAGAAGCACATTCAACATCTCGTCTCGAATGCGCACTGGATCGTCAGTGGCCTTGACGAGTTCATGCATGAAGACATACCGGCCGTTCTTCGAGGTTGACTTTTCCGGATCACGAATGAAGTCTTTTCGGTATCGGAGGCCCTGCTGCACATACTTTCCTACATAATCATTCACGATCTTAATGTCCTTTTTGGATTGTTTTGGCGCGCGATAAAAGAAGCTTGATCGGATGTGGTTCTGCACTTCGAGTTGCGATCGATGCCATGCTTCAGCAAAGTCGAGATTGGCTCTCGATTCTGGGGAGTCTCTTCCTAACAGCACATCGGTAGACTCGCCAAATAGAAATTCGCTTGCCGTATCGATGGTGAGACCAAAGAAAAGGTCTTGAAGGTCAACGGTCGTCTTTCCGTCCTTCGGGATGGCATCGATCATAATGCTCAAGTGTTCCTCGAAATTATCTAAATCCGCGACTTGATCTCGGGAAAAATTAGGCCTTATGAGCTCTCGGGAGTGTTTCCAGTCAGCGCCGTCATTAGTGAAAATCCCGAAGCCAAGCAGTGGATAAAAGGCCCTCTTTCTTGGGGCAGGTAGCTCGTAATCCTTGAAATTTGTGGCCAAGACGGTCTTGACATTCTCTGCCTCGACGGTAAAAACAACGGTCAAGTGAAAAAACTTTGACAGTCAGTATTGCATTCAATTGTACTTTGGATGAAGGCTCACCTTTCCGATATGTGTATTGCCGTATTCTCGGTATCTTTCCTGGCTGGCCTTTTCAAGTCTATGCTCTTTCGCGGCGCTCCTGATCATCCTTACCATCTTAAGCCTGTACACGTAGGGTAACCAGGACTGGTCATCGAGAGATTTCGGCGGTTCGCAACCATGCTCCTTGATGATCCGACGGCGGGCAATCCTAGTGGTGATTTGCTTGTAGGCGAAGTAGCCTGCCTGTACCAGAGTATAGCATGCTACGAAGAAGAACAAAGGGATTCTCAAGAAGGGAGTCATGATGGTGCTCGAGAGAGATTGAGTGGTAAGGTGGAATTAGAAGAACCGTCACAGGAGGTTGAGGTCCATAGGAACCAGCTCACACAGAATTTTTTTTGTGATTTGACTTCTCACAGAAAGGGGCGGCGGAAACTTGAGGGCGGAGCGTTGCCGGTTCTTGGGTTAGAGCTGACCAACCCGCTACGGCGTAACTGAGCCTGACTGAACATTGATGAGGCACAGGAGCTTCTCTCATGAGAAGCTGTTTCACAACGGTCGTCGGCTGCTTGCGTGCAGTTGGTATGAGCCGAGGAACGCTAGAATGACGAAGCCGAAGCATAAGCGGGAAGGAACAACGAGCTAGGCCCATATAATCGTCTAGCATGAGGATGTCAGAGGTATGGGGGCGTACCTAATCCAAGGCTCACGACTTGTCAGTGCACGCTTGAAAAGCAGAGGAGGCAGAGGACGAGAGTGTGATAAAATGATTCTTTATCATGATGCAATCGGTGGGGTAGAGAGTACTCTCAATGTAGTCTTCGGTCCTCCTCGGTCCTCCGGGATGGTGGACTAGAATAGTTCGCTTGCGCCACGCAGCCAAAGGAATTCGGTGAAACCTTTTATTAGCGTATGCAGGAAACGTTACAATCCTTGGCACTGAGAATTCCCACACATCACACCAAGAATAGTAGTGAATAGCTGAATTTTCCCACATATCTGAATTCCACTGCTTTCTTCGTCGCAAGTGAAGCTTCTATATCTCGCTCTTTCTGCTACTATGGCCTTGCGAGTCTATGACTCCATAAGGGCCGTACGCTTACGGGCGGCTTTGGCACCGGGGGCTTCAGGTCTGGTACCGGAAGTAGCTGCGCTTGGTTGACTGAGGTTAAGGCCTGACTTGCTACTCTTAGCAATCGCTTGAGTATGGGAGGACGCCTTTTTAGATCTCTTGAATTGTCTGGTCGGAGGCGAGGTCGATAGTGGGGGAGGGGACCCCTGACTGCGTCGATTGGGAGTTATGTGGAATTACTAAGAAGAAACACCAAGAAATGGCTAAGCGAGGTATACAGGAATTTCACTTATTACGAGTGTTGAAAAGGTTGAAAGGGAGAAGATGCAGCTATTCACTACTATTCTTGGTGGGGTGTGGGAATTCTCAGTGCCAAGGATTGTACCGTTTTCTGCATACGCTAATACCGTGTAGATGTTTCCATCCCCAAACATGCAATCACCATTCGCGAGAAAGTTGAGCCTCCGGTACAAAGACCGACTGGGAAGCTTGCCAGTTTCATCTGCCGTGTAAGATTTGGCGTACTTCCAAGTATTAGAGACTGAAAATACATCGTCACTTCACAGAATAATCCTGACACGAGAGGCGAAAGAAGAGCCTACAACCTCAGCTTGAGACAGCCGTGCAGAGCTGGAAATTCGTTGCCATAGTGTAAGGCGAGGCATCCTGATGAAAGTCTGCCGCTCATTAAATTATCCGCGCCGAGACGAGGACCACGGCTGTTAGCATGTGCTCCTCCATGGTTGTGAATGTGGAATCTAGGATAGCCGGAGCTCGAATGGGTCTTAGGGAGAGTCACTATCCGACTTATCCGACTACCGACCCCAAGGAGCTTCACAGCAAACTATTAAGGCCAATCCGCCGTGGCTGGTGACGTGGCTGGTGACATGGCAGTTTTCCTTTTCATCTCTAACCGCATAGAACGAAGGTATTACTTGTAGAGACTTCTCCTAGACAGATCCGTGGGGAGAAACAACCGTATCTCACTTATCGCTTTACTCTGTATATTCCGCCGCCCCTTACATCTTTCTTGCCATTTCTCTATCGATCTTATATACATAAACAAGTTACTGTCCTATCAGGTCAGGTCTTTTAGACTCCGATTGGTGATCAGAGCTCATTGGCTGATCATCCCGGGCTTCAGCCCTTCAGCCCTTCGGATTCGCCCCAGGGCGGGGTCTGGCCTTTGTATTGCTTCAACACTACGAGGTAGGTGTTGAAGCAGGGAGTGCCCTCGCTGTTGGCGGTCCAATCTTCTTCTCTTTTTTCCTACCATCTTTCATAGTTTCCTCCGGTAAGGTCAATTTCTAATCCCAAAACCATCAATCCAGGCCAAGAGTTATTGGTGATACTCTGAAACTACCTGCATCTTTTGTCTTGAGACTCCACTAAGATCTATAGAGCTCCACATTTCTTCTACTCCTGGTGTTGTCGATCTTATACGTACTAGCCGCATTTCCTGCCCGAACCTGCCACACATGCATCCCTTATCGAAAGCCAGCATGGCTAAGTCCCTGGAGCCGAGAACTTCGGCGAGCTGCCCAGCAACAATGAGCAAGAAATCAACTATATCTACGCCAACTCTGTTTAGAGATGTGGGCACTCCAGCAACGTTCTATACGAAAAGTGCGCAGGCGCTCCAGAAATATCTGAAGAATGCAAGAGAGGCGTCATACAAAGAGAAGAAGGTAAATCGTACACTCGATTGGATGTAAAGTTGACCCTCCTGCTGACAGTTACAGATGAACGAGAAAAAGCCAGGGTACCTGATAAACATATCTCGAAAAGCGGCGAAGGTATGCGGGAGGCAGCCACCATTGACTGGAATTTGTCTTGCTAATATATCTAGATTGCCATTGCCGAAGATGACAAAAAGGTCGTCGTCAATTGCCCCACAAATTCCGACTGGGGCACAATGGTGGCCAAGTTAGGATATAACCAGCACAACCACCCATCAAATAGGGCGGGTGAGGTGCTTCCAGCCAAGCAAAACGCTGCTTTGAGGACATTACCAACCTCCAAGACCGCTTCGATAGCCGTACCTATCGATCAGCGATGTGGGCCTTTGGTCGAGTCTCAAGAGCACCCTTCAACTGTTCAACGAGACACTCCTGTAGTAGGAGAACCACTCGGAGTCACTCAAGACCAAGGACAGCCTGTGGAGTCAACGAGTAATCAAGATAACGCGGGAGCAACACACGCAGACGCGGCTCCCGTTCGGATCCATGGTCAGGAATCCCGCAATACTGACGCCACCTACCCAGGCTCTCGTTCTAGGTCTCCATGTGTTGCTGATGACCCGCTTGCCGCGGATCGATCACCCAATTCGGAGCCATCCATATTTCTAGGTAAGTGATCACTATACTTTGACATGTCCCCTAGGCTAAATTGAACAGTGCCGAGCCCTCAAAAGCTGAGGCAGCGGTGTAGCGCCCCAGCGATTATCACAATCCGACAATCCCGTTCTGGCTCCGACAGCACTTTGGTCAATCCCTCACCGTCTACGCCCACTACACCACCACCGTTACCTTCAGACTTCCCAGTCACTAAGATCACGAAGCGCGAGGGAGAAGCGGATGCTATTCAAGATTCGAGGGCATCTGCCCCCATTGATCCACCAGACTTTGACCGTATCGGTCCATACCAAGTCTTAGATGCATGGCAAGATGGTGTGGCAGGTGCCATGAAGGAAATCAAGGCTGTCCAAAACATGGAATGGGCAGAACGTCTAGCAAGAGCTGTTGTCGAAGCCAAGGCGGCGAAGGATGAAGAGTGGGCAGACCGCTTGGAGAAGGCTGTAGCCCAAGCGGAGGCAGCGAAAGACAACGAGTTAGAAGCATTTGATCAGTTCAAGGAGTCCAACCATACCAACGCGATCAAAGACTTGGAAGAAGATCACGAGTACGAGATGAAGGAACTCGAGGAAAAACACAATGAAATCCTTGACGAGCTTACTACCAAGAACGCTGAAGCTCTTCAACAGCTCACCAAAGAGTACGGTGCCGAGGCTCGGAGACTGGAATTGAGACGTGTTCAAGGAGCAAAGGAAGTGAAGAAATTGAAGGAGGATATGATCGAAATGGAAGCCGAGAAGATGACGACGGAGAAAAGACTAGTGCACATGACTGGCCAGAGAGACGCCTTGCACAAGGCCTTTGCCGCCATGACGGGCCGATCGCCATCTCAAGATATCGAGGCCTTGGAGCCTTCGCAGAGCGACCAATGCCTCAACAAATGCCGTGAGGAAGTGGGAGTTAATAATGACATTGCGGACCAGGAATCCCTACCCGCAATCAACGTTGGGGCACATACGGCTAACAAAATAGAGAATCCAGCCACAGACTGCGGCACTCTTCAACCAGATCCGCAGGGTCAGAAGACTCAAATGCCAATAACTCCCAATCCCCTCTACTCACGACTGCGATTGGTGGAAAATGAAAACGTCCAGCTCCACGCAGACCTAGAACGGCGCCACGAGGACGTAACATACCTCATTGGGAAGGCCGACAGTTTACGCGCGTTGTTGGAAGAAGATGCAGCAAAGGCGGACACCTACGCGGACACCATGCTTCATAAGGAAGTCATCGAAGACCTCAGAATCCGTCTCACACAATCATACGAGGCCGCAGAGCGGGAGAGGTTTGAAGTACAGCGCCTGTGCGGCCAGATTGACATCGTCACTGCGGATATGGAGAGGGGAAAGCTGGAGCGACAACTGGCTGTGAAGGATAAAGAAACTGCTTGGGAGCAGAACAAAACCTTGCTCCAGAATCTCAAGGGAACGTTCGAAAAGAGTGATTTCGATACGGCGTTCTGGGCCCACTACGAGTCTTTGGCGAAAGAGAAGGAGGGTCTTGAGGGCGAGCTCAGCGGCTACAAGCGACAGCGTCGCGATATGATGGAAGAAGCCGTCGAGCTGAAGGTCAAGATTGCAGAGCTTGAGCTCGGTGTGCCCAAGGACGATGACGATTTCCAGGACCTCAAGAGCCAGGTCCTCACGTTGCAGGTCGGTAAAGACGTTCTCAGGGCCGAACTCGACTTCCAGCTCGCGGAGCAAACGAATCGACAGGAGGGGCAACAGATGCCTCAGGGTCTGCGCGATACCCAAGATCAGGTCCTTGAGCGAAAGAATGCGGAGATTGCCCGAGGCCGCGCGGTGGAGGAAGGCGGGCATGGAAGGGACATTCAGCCAGCAGAAGAGCTTGAACCCTGTGCGGATACACCTAAGTCCGATTACGGTTTTTTTTAAGGACTGGGAGAATGTGATGGACGCTCTGTGGTCCAGACAGTGGTCTCAGAGCTCTTGCGAATCGTGAGAGATGATAGGAAAAATGAGGTTGGATCATTTTTGCACTGTTTGTGTACGAGATACCCCAGCGATGCGTTTTCAGCGCCTGTTCAAAGACGCAATTACTGCAGCGTAATGGTGCAGGATAGTACCGTCTTGGTTTGATGTGACCAGAGTATTCTGTGCATTCACCGATAGCTATGTCTTCTATACAATAAATATAATATATCGCTTAGATTGAGGGAGATAATCCTTTCAAAGCAGCATCACCGTCACTCCGTACTCTTGCATTTTTCTTCGTATATTGAATGAGTTGCTGATGGGATCACTGTTTGTTGACGATATTGATCGCACCAACTTCTAGGTAATCAGAGGATCGAGCAAAAATGATGCAGAAGGGGGTGGATGAAGCAGGTGAGGATTTTGAGGATTAAGGCGGGCCCTCGTGAAGATGGAAGTCGAAGGTTTAAAAGCTCTGTAGGGAAGCAAATTGTTGAGAGGGGGTAATGACCCTGAACACTTCGTCGTTTCAATTTTGGCACAGTTTTGTGAGTAGTATTTGGGATGAGTTGACTGATTATTTAGAAGAATTTAGAATCAAACTTCAGCGTGGCTCTTTCCTACACAATCAGTAAAATACCTGGATTCATCAACCCCTACAAGTACCTGTTCTCTAGACTAGTTCTATAAGCTATAGATATACTGGCCATTTGTCTCTCTTACTATGGTGATTTCAGAAGACAAACCAGGGTCTTGGTAAGTTGATGGAAATTTCCTTTCCACTCGTGGATTCCAGAAGTGAGTTACTTGATAGAGCGAGGACGCCAATAGAAGCGACGTGCCGCTGAGTGGAGATATCTATTGGTGTCCTCGCTTATCAAGTAACTCACTTCTGGAATCACGAGTACTCTTCAAGCTTGAAAGACCGAACAAGACATAGAAACGATTTACTCTAACAGGAGATACAATGATAGAAATCCCCCTCTTATACAGGACGTAATGCTTCGCGCGAGCAACAAATGAAATATTCCGACGCTGCCCCTAGAACATCAAACATCGACATGAACATAAACCCCGTCGCGAAAATAACTAGCGCTGTCCTTTCCAGAACAAATCTCTTTGTCCCACTTCTTTCTCCCCTCTTCACCTCATCATCAAAGCCTGCTGAACGCGTCTACTCGCTTGTGCGTTCGCACTGTGGGCTTCTCTCTCTGCTTTTTCTAGCAGCTTTCTTTTACTCTTTCTTCGCCGCTTTTGATTCCGGCTGGGCTCGGATGCGGTCCGGGTGTACTTGGGCGTCTCCTTCTTGCGGGCGCTTTCCTCTTTCAACATCTTCTTCTTCAGCTTCTTTTCTCTGAGTTTTTTCTCTTGAGGTGACTCATTCTCAGGCGCATCAATCTCCCGCGTCTCCTCCTTGGGCACCCCTTCCTCAGGCACCTTCTCCTTCGGCATGTTCTCCTCAGGATTCACATCCTTCGGTACGCCATCTTCAGCTGTCTTCTCTTTCGGTTGGATGGTCACCAATGGAGGACTCTGTCGCTCAAACGAAAATATACCCGTCGACGTAGGCTGAGAGACTTGTGCTGGGAAGGACGGCAACGAACCAGTGAAAGAGACTGGGTCACTGTTTCCTCCAAAATTGAATTCATGAAACTGCATAGGCAAAAAAGTCTCTCTGGTTGTGCCAGAGGCGGCTTCTTTCCGGGCATCTGTGGCTTCGCCGCGTTGCCCTGCCTCTGGGTTCTTAGGCGTATTCTTTACTTCTGCTGGGTGCAGTGTTACGACTGGAGACTTCCCCTTGGACTTTGCCTCGAGGTCTGCGGCTGGCGCTGGCTGGAAACAAGATGGCTTATTCCCGGCAGCGGTGAACGAAGTACCTTTCCAGATGTCTTGAGTACTTACTTTCCCTGCAGTCGAAGGGTCTAGCGATATCTACCTTCTCAATATCATGCTCGGTGTCATCTGTCTTCACGTCTTCGACCGGAGACGTACCGACAAGCTCGGTAGCAGCAAGCTCAGATGACTACGAGGAACTGGTAGACGCCACTTCTTCGGCAGATCTCGGTGAGGTGGGCGATGACGACCCCGAAGTGCTCTCAAGCAATGTCTCATCGTGAGGTGAAACCGAAACCGAACAATTACGACCAATGGCCAGAGGCGCAGGCTCAGCGGGCGACAGCACTGACGAAAATTTCCAGCCCTTGAATAGGGGATGCGCTGGATGGAAAGCGTAGGGCCCATCCACACAATTTTCTTGTCTCGCAAACATCGCAGGTACTTCCGCCAGTCTCGCCGACGGACATGGTGTTATGCAAGTTCCGTCCGCCAAAGCCGTTGACGGACATGGAGAGAAGAAATCTATAATGGCAGTCTGCTCTACCGTTGAGACTTCTGGGGCAGTATTATCTGGAGCCGTCTCCACGGGCTGTCCATGTCGTTCTGCCAATGACGTACCTGCCACCACGATGTCCTGTGACTAGTTGAAGACCCAGAAGGCGGTCATCTCGGGCTGTTGTTCGGAGCCCTTGAATCAGAGTCAGTCTTAGCGACAGGATAGGATGACGGCATGGTTATCACCTACCTCTTGACCTTTCATGAAGATGTGCTTGAGAAGATCTGGTCCGAACCTTTTTTTGCTGTTTTCCATATCGACAATACCAGCAAATTCCACATTGCAAGGCGACGTTGACGATGATGTGGTTACGGTCGAATAGATTGCAGGAGATAAGGATTGATGAGATTGATGAAGAATATCGCTAGGCAACAGTGCTATTGATGGTAGATAGACTGCACTGGTGGAGAATGTCACAAGTGAATTTGCTTATATGGAATGCGCTAGCACGTCAACACCCAGTTTAGAAGAGTCATGAGAGAGATATTCGAATCCTCTTGCCACCTTATTGTTGGCGATCACACCCAACCGGGACGCGTGGGAAAGACGATTAGTCAAGGGTTTTGCTGTGTTGACGATACCCTCAAGGGAGAATTCCGGACTCCAGGACAGGGGCGAGAAAGATCTCGCTCTCGCTCTGGCGCACTACCATGCTGTCCGCTTTTGGTACCAGGACTCTCAAAAGTATTTATAGAGGGAGAGTGTCGGCAGGAGGGTTACCTCGATTGAGGTGCTAGGAACCCTGAATGAGTCCTTCTCGCCGACTTATATAAGTCTCTTACGATGGCTGCGGAGGTCCTGGTGGTAGATTTCTTGGCATTCCTCTTCCACTTACTTCTTTCGGCTTCTCTGAATGTGTGTTGGATCATGTTTTAGTTCCAACCTGTGTCAATGAGCAACGACACAACTATGGGTGTGATTGCTACTTAAGTATATAAGGGAACTCCTTTCCTTCATCTTCCTCCTTCTTCCATCTTCCACCACACCAAGACTCTTCGACCTCCTACTCTGCTTCGCATAGCATCAGTAAACCTTTCGATCATCGATAGCATTATTGCTGATCATCCTTCACCATTTCCTGATCACACACCTCTAGCACATCAAAGCAGCTTCATAACATCCACAAGCCGTTGTTGTCTTGCAGGAAGTAGTAGTTGCTGGTGTTGTCGACATCGATATCCACAAGCTCATCCTGGATGTTCGTTGATTAGCACATCATGTCCTTCCTCTTTCGTGGCAATGGTGCGAAGAACCCAGCCACCTATCTTTTTATAGGGCTTTTTCCAAATCTCTCTAGATACCTATCTGGAAGACCAAGATATGTAAGCAACTCTGATGATAGTAAGTTTTCTGTATGCTAATGTTGATTTGACACGAAGACCACGCAGCAGCTTGCCCAAGCCACTTCCTCCACAGTCTCCACTAAAGCCCAAGATGTGACTGTTTCGGATAATGGCGCTCTCAGAGAGCAAGGATCTCTCAAGAAGGGCGTCACAAAGGCCGCCATCGAGAAAGCCGCTCCTCGGTTCATCTCTCCACATCCTTTGGTAAACTTCGCAGAAGTGCCTGCCATCTGCAGAGTACATTCAGGTGATCTTGTTGTGGGCCACGTGTTTAACCCTCAACAGCCACTGTTCTTGTGTGAGGCTGTGTCACCGTCTCCCAAATTCTCCGAAGTAGAAGCAGAGTCCTCATCAACTGGAGGAAGCTTCAGCACGCCGACTCAGGCTCTATCAACCTTTCAACAGTCCTCCGGAGTCGGAACAGAGCCTTTGTCAGCTGAAGGAAGCTTTGACAGACCCGCCCAATCATGGCGCCCCGACTTGTCTGCGGGTTTTGGTATGTGTGACACCATCACTTCACACATGAGTCTGACTAACGTTGAGCAGGCTTCGAGTCCGGGAAGTGTCTCAACCGTCACAGCATACTGAGTTTCCCACTTAGTCACAGCCGCAACATCTCGACCTCTTCAAACGAGACACTGGTATGGAATCCGAATGACCAATCCTCTACGCCGTCTCCAGTAACTTCAGAGTTCGGCAACGTGCTGCAAGACACGGCTGAGAAGATCATCCACGAGGAGCAAGCTGATGAAATCCACCGACTGGAGGAAACTGTCGAAGAACTGAGAGTAGAACTCGCTGACCAAGCAGAGCAAGCAAAGGAGCTCGAAATTGATATGGGCATTTGCGAGAGAAACCGAGAGCTTAGCTTCAATACGGCTCTACGACTCTATCGAAACCCGGGGATTTCAGTTTTGGTGGAGCGACATAATCTGATCGACCAGATTGATCAGCTGAGGTTCGAGGTTAGAAACCGGGATGCCCAGATCTGGCTCCGCGACCAGTGCATCGAGACTTTACGATTAGATGTTGCTCTGTATGCTAATAAGGAGCATTGGATCCGCCTGCAACAATGCTACTATGCACTTCAGCAACAGTACGGACAGATGCCACAAGACTTCAAGAAGCTCGAGCAGAAGTACGAAGATCTCGAGGATGAGCACATCGATGTCGCGAATAGACTCAAGAAGCTTGAAGCAGATCACACTGAGCTGAAGGCTCAACACAATCAGATTAGGAATGAGAGAGATCGGCTGGAAGATGATGCTGAGAAGAGTGCTAGAGCCCATGAGCAATTCCTGGCAGGACTGGCAGCTCGAATGTTTCAGCGAATAATATTCATGACGGGCGTCCTTAATAACATGGACGTGGACTCGATGGATAACGAGCAGAGAGCTCTCTGCCAGCTTGCGTACGAACACCTTGGCCCAGATGCAACAGAAAGCGCCACAAGCTGCGAGAACACGGGAGCCAATGGATGTGCAGAGGTTGAAGAGGAGCGTGAGAGCGGTGTGCCAGAAACCCACGTCGGCGACGTTCCCTCATTGGTGTCCACGTCCGAGTCCAACGATCGCGAATCCACCTTGCCCAGCGCAGGAGCCGACGGTAGCTCAACATCCGCTAAATTTGACTTGAGAGACATGTCCGAGTCGCCCAATACCTTCGACGCGAGGAGACGGCGTGAAGTTGCTGCGGCCGAGGACAAGATACTGGGACCGTTGGGATTGGTCTTCGAAAATGGCAGTCCCACGTTGAAGAGCAAGCCGATTTCTGAGGGTTCCAAGTCTTCCAAGGTGTCGAGAGTAACGAGCCGATTCCCAAACTCGCCAAGTACTCCAAGCAAGACATTGAGAGCCCTCTTGACGTCCGGTGCGGATGACATCGACCAAGTCACGCCTGCTCGAACTGGCGGCACATCTGGTATCGCGCGAGATCAATGGGAAATTGCTGGTAACGAACTTCAAGGATTTACCGAAGTCTTCAGAGGCCCACGCGCGCAGCCGATTGATCTCGTGTCGCCACGTGTAGGATGGAAGGAAGCAGAAGATGACGGTCGATTCAAGGAAGATAATTTCTCTCAAGTGTCCGAAGAAAATGCATTCTTAAGCACCAATGAGAGTTGTATGCATGACAATTGTCTGGTGGAAGAGATGGAAGTGGGAAGCGACCTCGATGATGCCGAAGACGGGGCGGTACTTGAAGGCGACGATGATAAGACCGGCGGATCAAGAGAAGAGAGTGGGGACGAAGATAGCCGTCGTGATACCGCTGCAGTCTTGAATCAGTCTACTGATTCCGGAGGCCATGAACGCGGTTTCGGCGGTGGCAAGCTGGAGCAGGAATCCTTGGACTATGAGAATCCTCTCATCACATCGCCAGCTGCAGCTCTCAAGCCAGAGACGAGTGTGGGATTCTCTACTTTCAAGTCATTCCCAAGAATACGATTGATGGAAGGCTCTTCAGTGTTCCATGATCTTGGAGTACGCAACGAAGCCATACACAAAGAGGCATATGCCATTGCAAGCCTTCCTAAAGAGGCTTTCAACGCCCCTCAGTTTCAGAACTTCAACTTTGGGGGAAGCAGTGGCGGGGTCCGTTTCATTGGACACGAAACAAAATCTCTACCCCCGCAAGGACCAACCTCTGAGCCTACATCAATTGGCTTATTCAACTTCTCCAACACACTCATAGCCCAGGCTCCTAGAACTGCTTGTGACCCTCTACCGTTTCAGCAGGACTTCAATTTTGGCGGGAGCAATGGCGGAGTCTCATTCACTGCAAATGAACTGAGATCCTCAAACCTACCAGCGGCAGCCACTGTACTTGGATTGGCCGGTGCATCTTCGGTCGTAGGCACGTCCTTGGCCCAGAAAATTCCCTCGGTGCTTGCCCAAGCCGAGGAGAAGGCGCCAAAGGAAGAGATCTCGAACAATGCTACCGTCGAGAACCATGGCACGGAGGAGGACGCGTTGGCTCCGAGTACGCCCAAACAGAAGAAGGCCAAAGGAAAGAAGGCCAAGGAGGCGGCGCCGAAGAACGAGGAGCCCAAGGTGGAGGGCCCAAATCGAGCGCAGCGACGGGCCGCAAGTCGAGAGCGGAAAGCAGCAGAGAAGAAGGCCAAGGCCGTAGCGAACGATGCTACGCGACGAGGCAGGAGCGCCGTGGCAGCGGCAATGATGAGAGGTTGAAGACATTGACATGAAGAGCAGGTAGGCTACCTTTCGTTGAGGACCACGCTAGAGTACTGTGACTGATACTTACACGACAGATATCCGCCTCTTGGATTTACGTCGTGCCTGCCCTGGGCGTGTGAGATATTTGATGTCGATTGTTTTTGTTTCAGTCTGAATGGATAGGGATGGGTTTCATAGTCATTGTGGAAATGGACGGCGTTGACAATGCGGTATTCGGTTTAATAGAGCGCACTTGGGAGGAATTCAGTTTCAGTACAGTATCAATTACAATCATTACCCTCATTAGTGTCATCATAAAGATCTTCTACGTGATAACTTTCGGGATTTCAGTTCATAGGGAATTCATCTGTGTCCGAGATTTTTGGGCCTCGCCAATTGAATGTGCAACGAAACCGATATGCCGCTCACATATGTAGTCTCGATTTTTCTAGCTCTTAGAATGTTGATATTTTGCTCTTTTGCGTCGAATTGCGGTACATCAAACGATCAGCTCATTTCGGTTATCTATCGTATTGTCTATAATGGCTACGGTGTCCTATGACTGGAAACTCCGCATGTACTTCAGTGTGAACGTGCCCTGGTTATCGCTGTGCAGCACTCCCTGAGACCTCCCTGTAGCGGAGTCACCTCTCAATTCCCACTTAGCTGCGTTTGATCTCCAACATGCCTCTGTTCAATGGCCAACACACTTTCCACGTGCTCGTAGCCCAGTCCCTTGCCCTTCTTACTAGCAAGCAATTGCGCAGTCTTCAGCACGTTCTTGATCTCACGACCATTCATCTTATAACCCGCCAACTTATCCAGGTCTTGGTCACTGAAGTTGTGCTTCTTGCCTTTCGAGGAGGCGTTGAGGAAATTAACCCAAACGTGTCGGCGTGAGGATGTGCTGAGCTCGCCATACTGCATGCTGATGTGGATACGTGATTGGAAGGCGGCATCGATGTTGTCGACGCGGTTAGTGGTGAGAAAGAGGATCCCTTCGTAGTATTCCAGAATTCGAAGGAAGATGGAGACGAGTTTGTTTCGCTCCAGGTCGTGTGAGCTGCGTTGTTCAAGGAAAACGTCGGCTTCGTCGAGGAGGAGGACGGCATTCCATTTGCTGGCCATCTCTAGAACATTGGAAAGTGAAGACTCAACCTGGGACGAGTCGAGGCCAAGATCACCGGCGCTCATCATATAGAGAGGTGCGCGCATTGTCTCGGCGACTTGAAGCGCTTAGGTCAGTCTTGTGCATTCACAAACTCCAGAGGGTAGACGAGGACATCACTCACCAGACTCTGCAGTCAGCGTTTTGCCAACACCCGGGGGCCCAGACAACAGCATGATCATGCCTTTGCCTTTGCCCTGAATGACATCATCAAAGCTATCTCTATGCTGGACCTGGCTCTCGGCTAAAGCGAGTATGAGCTCTTTATGATCTTCAGGGAGGACGAGGCTCTCAAAGGCGCTTTCGCTGTACTCGATGTCCAAGACGGAGCCGATAGAGAAGGTCAGCCATTTCTTGTTCTTCAGAGAATAACCTTTCAATGAAGCACTACACATAAGCAGTTGATCATCTGTCAACGAGGTCGGGTTTCTCCTCTCCCCTGTAGCGACATCCTCGTCGAACTCATGATCCTCGTCATCATCGTATATCGAGACCTCGTCCTCGTCCTCGTCTTCGCTGTACTCGCCGGAATCAACTGAGCAAGCGTTCTTGATAGGCCTCGCCAAGGTAGCCAGATTGACTTGCTTGTTGGGATTGAAGCGATTCCATGCATAGGTGTCTATGATGATGCGGCTGTCAACCTGTTTTGAATATATTAATGACGTGTGGGACGAGCAATGGCCTGATGACAAGGACATACATTGTATTTGATAGGGCCCCATGGACCCTCACCAATGGCAATCCCCTGATAGTTCTTGTAATGGTAACCACTGAGCTCTTCAAATGCTTTACCTCTTCGAATGAGTGCCTCTTTCATCTTGACCAAGTTGGGATGGTACTCCAGAGGGTAGGCGGAGAGCTTCGTAATTTTGGTGGTGCCCTCAAACTCCCACACGTAGAATGGTGCACTACCAAGGCCAAAGTTCTCGCCGTCCCAGTCAACAACTTGGCAGCCAAGGACATAGCGATGGCCGCATTGGGTCTGCTGATAATTGCCGTTGTTGAATTTAGCAGCGCAATTCTGACCGTCTTTCACAGTGAAAATAGTGGTGCCAGGCTCGAAGATCATCCATATGGTGCTGTAAGTGATGACGCCGTTGAGGATGAAGTCATCTCTTGCCTTGAGGTCGTCTCTGAGCTCGGCCTCAAGGACGCGATGGAGAAGTTCCAAATGATCTTTCGTCTCTGGGTCTTGCTCAGATTCCAAGGCTTCAAGCAAATTCTTCCAGCGGTGGATGAATGCCTGGAAGGGTGCTTTAAAAGTCAAACGATCCAAAGTGGTTGTGATTCCGGGATAGTCTTTGAGGACTGAGCTGAGACCTTGCTTGAGAAGAGGAGACTGAACGACGATGGAGTCGATCTGCAGCTTCTTTCGACCATCGTAGCACTTGCTGTTGCGGATCAGGAGAGCATAGCGTGCACTCTCCGCGTTCTCTGCAGCCTCTTCAAGATCGTCAGGGTACTTGTCAACCCAAGTTGTCTTTCCTCGGTTATCAGGCTTGGATTGATAAAGGTTTTTCACATCAGTGATCATTCCTGGCTTGGCATCCGGAAAGGCATCATTGCCCTTAGTCGCCCTATCGACCAGGCCGGTGGCGGCGTCTTTCACTGCCACAATTGGTGAAGACTCAAGCAGCGTCATGGTGCTTGGTGCTGGGTCAATGTATATAAAACAAAGAAGGGTCTGGAAAATGTGTCTAGGTCAGAAGCAGTGAAGGTGTACAGTTGTTCAGATGGACTAAAAATATCCCAGATGGCCGATGTAAATGGTCGCAAGATGAGGGGGGAAGTGCCACGTTTATATGTAGTTTTATGACCCCTCGAATGATAAAGTAGCCTTGCTCTTAGTGGGCAAGTGTTGCCTGAAGGATTTGCACTAGCGCCCTACAGCCTTGTTGAGTCACTGATTAGTCCAATCCAAAACTCATATCGAATCAAGACTTTGACACATTGTGACTCTTCCAACTCTGCTGCCTGGTTATCCACGCGAGACTGGAGGTGAAAGGCGCCGTAAACTACATAGCTATCTCGTAGCCTTGCTCTAGCCTTGCCAAGCAGAATGCGTCTACACCCCATGTGTCGAACTCGAGGCTTTGATAGAGACTCGTACGTCTCACAGGATGGTGACTCCAGCAGACGATGGATCTGGACCCGAAAATTAAAGTTCCAAGGGCCGCTACTGCCTCGCGGGACTTGCTGTCGGTCGATCAGTCCCGGAAAGATGAGTTGCAGCTGTCCTCCCTGCATGTGGATGCATGAGTTGGCGCTGTTGTTGTTGTAGACGCTTCATAGTGGAAGGCTGCATGCCAGGTGTAAGCAGTGCATATCCGGATCGACTGCCATTGGTTAGGAAACATATTCCAGTTCGGGCGCAGGAAAATTCAAGCCGAATTGACATTGCGCTCAGTCGGATACCTACAACAGTCGATACTCATCCTTTTGACACACCTGAGGTTTGGAGTCTGATATGAACGGTTTGGTCATTGGCAACAGGAGGGGGTCGTTAAGGGAGAAGATCTCCGTGGTCGTGGCTAGAAGATTAAAAGGGGAAGCTTGCGCGACAGCTCAAGGACGGAAGGTAATGCAAGCAACCGCATAGCAGCCGATGGTAATCCAAACAAGAGGCGTCATCATTCTCGAGTGCATCAAGGCATTCTCAGTTGGGTTCTTTTGCCAAGGTTGGCCCAAAAATACCCTCCGCCTCTTTTTCCGACTTCTCCCTCTCCAGCTTCCTCTTCTTAATGACCCTCTCGTCCAATCCATTTTCTCCTGCACCTTTCGAATCTCTCTTTTGCGCCTTGTTGATACCGACAAGATCGACCTTGTCCGGATTCCGGCATTTGAACAGCTTCTTGTCTATCCTCGTCAGAGCTTTTATCTCAGCTTCTCCTGGGTTGGCAGAGGCGGAGGAGCGAAGAAGTTCGGCACAAGATTGTAGCGTGGAGATGAGCTTTGCCGTGAGGGTGGATGGCGTAGGGATCTTGGTGTTAATGTAGAAGCGGGCGAGAGGCTCGTCGGCGAGGAAAAGAGAGGATAGCCAGATTTGAGAGGGTGTGTAGAGGAAGTAGGCATCTGTGAGGAGAGCTGAGCTCTTTCCTACCTCCTTGGCCTTGCCGTGAGCCACCTGTATGCGTCGAACTACCTCATCCGCGGATCTTGCTTTCTTGCTGCTCTCCTTTGCTGGTTCAATGTCCACCATCTCTTTCTGAAGCTGTTCCGATGACTGTTTGATCCCTGGACCAGCCTGCCCCTTGCCTTGTGCTAGGCCCAATAGCTCCATGATCCCTCCTTCCAGCCCGCGGTGTGGATGTCGCACGTCGAAGGTAAATCGGAGACCTTGGGTCAAGAGGAACTCAGGCGCGACAACACTTTCTGGCGTAGTCTTCGGAAGCTTAGAAGCGAAGCTTCTGAGTGATGTGTAATGATTCTCGGTCTTGGTAGATAGGAAGAGCGCGGCTGCCATCATCTCTTTGGGGTGGTAGGTCATGGGGGAATTGGAGAGGTAGAAGCGCTTGAGGTATTGTACAGCTGTAGCCTGGCAGTCTTGGTCAGATGTTTGATGAAAAAAGAGCCGGTGAGATGAGTTTTGACTACCTTCACATTGGTGGGGAATTCGCAGAAGTCCGCAAATTGCATCGCCTTGACGCAGTAGAACCCCACCAGCTTTTGCTCCTCCTCCACCGTGAGACAGTCCACCTCTTTTGCAGGATCTGAAGGCTTGTCATTGCTTCCTTCTCTTGCTGGGTCGGATCCAGCTTGACCAACATGCTGGCTTCGGATGGCAGCTCGCACGCCATCAGCCGCGGATGCATTCGTAGTAGAGCGAAGTGATGCGAGAGATTCCCGAGTAAATGACCATAGTCGGTATTGTGTAGATGTACGATAGATGTCGTCCTCGGTCATTTGAGCCATGGGGAGGACGACCGGGACCGGGGGATCTAACCCCAGAAGATTGGTTGATAATGCTCTGGTGTTGAAAGTTGCCAAGCCGCAAGAACTCTGCAGTATTGGGCCTAGAGTAGAGGGATCGCCACTTTACGCGCGCGTGACGCGATTAAGAATCACGCGAGCCTGAGTGATTCCGACTGAGTCACTCCGAATCGCCTCACGACAGCAGGCAGCTGCTGCCTGACTACTTTAGTCTATCAACAGCCATTGCAGCCAATATTAGGGCCGGTCTGGTTGATTGATGGCCCTGGTTCGGTCGCCCTGTACTTAGTGTTTTGTCTTGGCGTGGTGAGGGAAAAACCTGTGGTGCATGAAGCCAGACACGCTCAATCTCAAAGCGGTGAACTGTGATGAGACAAAGGGGGTATCAGCAAATTAGGCCAGTGTTCAGGAGCATGCCAGCTCATGGTTTCTTGAGAATCAACCGGAGATTCTTAGACAGCTTGCAATTAAACCTCTGGGTGATATAAGTTTCCAGAGCTCCAAGGTTTGACATGGTCAGCTGATTAGCTGGTGATCCACCAGAGTATTTGGAAGCAGCGAGGCGAGAACATTGAGGAAAGAATATTTGGCACTTCCTCCAAAGCCTACATGCATTCCGCAGCTATACATGCCTTCCGCAGCTATACATGCCCTGATTATTCCCCGTGCAGTCTGGCTGCTGACATCGAAAAGTGGGTTTACAAGCTTTCTCTGCTTTCTCCTCAGACCATCTCACGGACCAACACCTCCTTTGCTCAAAGTTAAGGGTTCCGCCTACATCGCTGCTCCTAGAGACCGTATATCATAGAAGGTCTTCTGTAGGTCAAGCTCGGCTGCGGAATTTGGCAACGAGCTCTCATAAGTCACAAGTCATAGCCAACAGTCGTCATTTTCGCAGGTAGAAACCAGCCTTCGTCGCTATTGTTGCTTGTCGAGGAGTGCGATCTGGCGAACCAAAGTATGCACCAAGCCAGAAAAAGACGGCTGGATCTTTTATGTCCTTGCCCTTGGGCGAGTTTTTTCATTCGCCGGCGGATCTCTCTGCCACGCAGATAAGAAATCGATGGTCTGGGCGCAGAAATCTTCGATGCCGCAGCCATGGAGGTATACAGCCCTTTGTGAAAGTGTGTCAAGTACGCGGGGAAAGTTCCAAGAGGGTTTGATCTTCTTTCTTTCTGTGGCAAGGTCAAGAAGAAGTCTGTCGACGTCTCGATCTGAGGGTCTATCACCATAGCTACACCCTTTATTATCCATTTCCCCGTAGGAGTATTCGCCCAAGATCATGACTAGTTCAAATGCTACGGCCGTGCTATCTGGGAGCTTTTGTAACTCTTCCAATTCATCCAGGAAGAGCATCATGGCTTGGCTCAGGTCGTCAGAGGTGACTCCGGTCTTCTTCGCATCGGGCGGGGGTCTTGGTGCGGAGCTTATCGCTGACTTTGCAGGCAGCAACTTTTAATCGATTCCCTAGAGTCTTTGAGGCGCCAGGACCAGTAAGCATATGCTGCCGAATCGACTGAGGTGCCACTGTCACGGGTCACGCCATACTCGGTGAAACTGCATACGGACACTTTCCTCTCATAAGTCCATTGGCATTAATGAAAGCATGTAGAGCTTGGACTTGATGTTCAAGCTCGACGATGCGCGCATTTGCAGACAGAAGTGCATCTGTGGCTGCTGAGATTGTCTGTTCGTGCAAATTTATTGGGCTTGCTTGCATGGTCATCTAGACTAGAGCTGGAGCGCTTATGAGCCATTCTGTGTAGCTGCACTGTGATGACGATAATTCGGGTCATAACCGTAGAAGAGATCAATTTCACGGCGTACAAAGACACGGATGACGCGGATATTTCATGTATACATATCAGAACGCGCCTCTATTTGTGGTGGTCTCAACGCCGCTTTATGTGCTCAGTAATACGTGCGAGCAGTCTCACGATTAATCTATTCTTGCAGGAGGTCTTGAATATTTCGATAAGCGAAAAGTTTTATCGGGTATACTTCTAGTCTTGCCAAACTCACGATCGCCGGAGTAGTGACAGTGAAGCTGGCTTGGTTTGCTACGGAGACGCCATTCATGACCTCCCACTAGTAAGGAAGTCTCCAAACTTACACAAATGTATCGGGTCATATATCTTGTATGTAGGGTAGCCTATGAGCAGAACAGACTACACGGACGACGCCGCCCCTACCTGATCAACCAAAATTCCAGGCTTGCTTGTTCAACCTTGCCGTCTCGAAATCATACAAATCCTTGACATACCGGCGAGAGAGAGAACCTATAAAGAGATTTGTCGTTATTCAAGTTTAATTTCGAAGCAGTTCCATCGCAAGAGACACCCTTTCTGGGTACGATGCCAGAACTCGACTCCAAAAAATTTCAAGGCACTGCTCTAGACTGGAAAGTTTGCTGGCAGTTTGCCTGCTCTGTTCGCTGCTACCATTTCAATGGTAGCATCAGGAACCCAGGACCAGCGAGTGCTAGTAGAAGCCTACGGCAAAAAGACTGTACCGCAAGGAAATGTCTTATGGTTGGCGCGCGATGGGTTTCAGCCTTCTCTTCGTAGGCGTGTTTGATGTCAAATTGCTTGTTTCAAGCATGTTGATTGGTTTCAACTCTTCTGATGCATGCTTACTGGATATGGAAGACAACGCTCTTCGTTCCCGTTTCGCATTCACAACGTATAAGCAAGGGACACAAAAGCCAACGCCATCGGATGCTACAGCATCTAGTACGAATAAGACGCCAGCCAAAGTAAACCCGTCGGGATTAGCTCTGACAACACCACGTCCACCTTAACCCTCTGCGCCGTCGCCGGAAAAGGTGCCACAGTCACACTCGAGCACCTCAGGCAGTAATTGCGGCCATTAGTCACCGTGCGCCATACCCCGTTATACGTCTGTGCTTGCATCACCACACTGGCTGCAGATAAGCTCGTCCCTTTGTTGACGCTCGTGACGACGGCTTCAACGCCCAAGTGGCTCCCGTTGTTATTATAAAGAGCAGAATTAAAATTTGCCGTAACAACCCCCGTAGAAGCAAGGTTCTGCCCATTTCCACTTGACGGACTGTGGCCTATGTGCACGAATTTGTCCGTGGAAACGCAGTATGCCTGGAGCGGGATACCCGGGTCCTTAGCGTTACTTCCAACGCATATCTCGTCACTAGCGCATTTGCCTCCGCCCAGATATGTACGCTGTCGAGGGTTCGTCCGGCCCGCTTGTGGTGGCTCGTTGCAAGAAGTCCCGAAATCTTGGGGGGATATTTCGTGGTGGCACCAGGAGTTGGACGTGTATGTGTCGACCAAGGGGCAATCTCGGATGGGGACGGAGGCGGGGGAGCGTCGTTGAAGAGTGGAGAGTGGGATGTGGGAGTGCATGATCGGGATTGAGAGGGTGAGGTCAGTGCCGTTGGAGGAGAGGATAGTGATCTGGACAGGAGAGAAGGCGCTTCAAATAATGCGCGTTAGCGTGTACCTTGATCATGGTAGCTTCGGAATATCAGGCGGAATGTGCATCCTGGTGTAGGCTCGCCAGCTCAATGTAGGATGTGCCATACCTAGAAATGCTGGTCGAATCGCTAATCATGCAAGTACCCAATGTCAATAGTATCGATAGCAAAATCGCAGGAGTGACAAGACCCATTGCGAACATTCCCAACATCCAAGAAAGCAAATGGAATTTCGAGATCCAGCGTACTGGTGTTTGGATTTAGGTAATTCAAGGTACGTTGGAATGACTGACGGAACGGTACGACCCACTCACTCGCCAGTCATGGCGGCAAAAGATTTCACAGGCAGACGCGCTTGCGTTTCGTCTTGCCAGGGTATCGAAGCAGTGGAGCACTAGCGCAGATTGGACCCAGGAATGAAGATAGCACGCGACATGCGCAGACGCTTGATGCGATTGTGCAGTTGGATTCGGCAGGGTAGAGAGATATACAGGGTCTGATCCACTCAGTTGATTGATGTCTTCCAATCGTTGGTGAAAGGGTCAGAGCGACTGATCGCAAAAACAAGAGTTGTAAGTGCCGCAGATTGAAGCAGCGGATCTGTACCTCGTGCGTGCGTGGTTTATTCGCCCGGCTTTTGCGCCAGCAAGGAAAGAAACAAGCAGGGAAGGCAAACTCCAATGTGAGATACGCGAAGACTTGAAAACGATCATCGAGGCTCAATAACAACAAACTCCTCCGAGTCTTCCTCCACCACGCCCTTCAACCTCTCCCTAGCTTCCTCCACCCTCGTCCCCTCCAGCACTAGCGCAACACGAAACCCATTCTGAGGCCCATACCTCCCACTCTGATATATAACGAAAAGCACGGACTTTTGCGTCACCCCATCCTTCACAAGCCCACCCTGACTACCCACCATCAGAATGCGTCGCTCAATCATGGAACCGTCATCCGCATTGGAAATCTCATCCAGTGCTCCTGAAGTTGCAAGTAGTTTCAAGGAAGCACTATCCATTGATGTTGATAATAATGTTCAGACCTTTCGCAATTAATTATGTTGCTCTAGTCCTGTGCGAACACAGATAGCTCTTGTCTTAGGTTTCCTTGTATCTTGCTTTAGCCAGTTTGGTCTCGGCAAAGTTGATACAACTCGTAGGGGCTAAGGAGGGAGTCGCAGGAAATGATGTACTCGCGGAGGCTGGCGGCGAGGGTGAGACGGCTTGTCTATTGGCGACCAGCTGCTCTACGAAGCTATTGGTCGTGTGCAGGCTAATTATATTATAAAGATTCGCTTAATAAATAAAATATTAATATATAATTTAAGTATAACTAGTAGAATTCTTTAAATTAGTTATTTAAGTAGAAATATTATATTTAGAAAATATATATAAAATAAATATATTAGTAGAAGCTTCTAACAGTAATTTAAAAAGAATATTAATAGAAGAGATTTTTAAGTATTTAATAACTCGTATATTAATTAAACTTCTAGTCTTTAGTAGACGCTGATCTTATTTTAATTTAATATAAAGAGAATTCTTACGAAGTATCGCTTTTAGTAATTTATTATAGATCTCGATTATTTTTATACTTTTAAAAGTATTAAAAGAACTATATAACGATAATATCTTCGAATCTCAAGAATTCTTTTAACTTATTATTATAGAAATATTAATTATAATCGAGGTAGTAGGTATAAGGCTTTCGATATATAATAAAGAATAACTTAAAGTATTAAATAATATTTTTTATATTAATAAATATAGTAGTAAAGAGAAATCGTAAATCTACTTATATAGTAGACTTTTATAAATATAAAAGTAGATTCTACTTTAATAGTTTTAAATAGATCTATAAAATCTATTTCTATAAGCTAAAAAGAATATATAACTTTAATAAAATATAAAGGCTAAGATCTAATAGTAGGTCTATATTTAATATACTTAAGATATCTAATAATATACTTTTTAATATCTTATATTTTTCTAGATTAATAGTAGCTACGTAGTCTTATTAAAATATTAATCTTAATTTAATATTCGCTTTTATTATAAACTTTTCGAAGTATAATAAGTATTTTTTCTTTCGATATATAAGGTAAATATATATCTTCTCGAAAGATCTATAGAATATATCATATTATTTAGATATTTAAAAGCTTTTTAAAGTAGCGTAGTAGTAGAGAGTCAAAGATTCTATAATAAGAAATTTATAGATTTTATTAAATTAGATACTACTATAATAGGCTTTAATTTAAATCTTAATATTCTTATTAATCTTATTATCGAAGACTTTTATAGATAATTTTATAGCTTTTATAATAGAAATAGCTTTTAGTAAGAAAGAAGAAATATTATATAGCGTATCTCTATTAATAATTTTAAGTTACTTTAATTTAATAAGTACTATTAAAAACGAATTAAATTTATTCTTATTATTCTTCTAGATTTATTTTAGACTATAATTCTTTAATTTCTATTATACTCGTATAATTATAATATTCTCTAAATATTTAATATCGAATAAGATTCTCGATAAGTCGTTAATAGCTTTATTTCGAGATCTAGATATATATTAAATAGTAAGATTTAAGCGATAAAGTTTATTAATCTAATATCTATAGATTTTCTTATAAAGATCTAAATTAAGAAAGTATATAAGAGACTTATAATTAGTATATATTATAGTAGATTAATATAAGTACTTATATAAGTAGTTATACTTTTTATAGAATATAATAATAATATAGAGTTCTCGCTTATAAGTAGAGTACTTCTTTTAAATAAAATTAAAGATAAATAAATTATATAAGATAAATACTTTCTTATTCTTTTCTATTATAATAGACTTTCTAAGATTATAAAGCTTTTAATAGAATAGCTTCTTATAATATAAGAATATAATATTATATAATAGTATATCTAGCTATAAAATTAAAAGTATTAATATATATATAAACAATTCGACTTAAGTTAATATTATATATATTTATTTTTATAATATATTTAATATATAGAATCTCGAAGAATAGCTATTTTACTTAAGTTTATCGCTATTTTATCTTTCTTATAAATCTAAAAAGAGATCTCGCGATTTCCGCGAAGTTCTTCATTTATCGATATATAATATTAATAGTTTCTTAGAAATCTTAAACTTCTAATTAATCTAATAATATAGAGTACTTAATTATCTTAATAATCTATTTCTTAAGAATATAAATATATTCTTTAATAATATAAGTTATATTAAGAATCTTAATTAATAATATAGATAGTTATAATTTCTTAAAGAATAAAAGTAACTTAATTTATTTAATTCTAGAAAAAAAGTAATATTATAAAAAAAAAATAAATTCTTCAAAGTTATAAAAGTTATTAAAGAAATTGTTTATATAAAATATAAGAGATAATAAAATCTTAGAATTCGACGAATATAGTAACGAAGATTTAAAAGAAATAGAATTAAATAATTTATAAGCTAGCTTTATTATAATAAAGCTTATAAGTTATAATATCTATTATATTCTTATAGACTATATTTAATTAATATCTAAAATAATAAAAATAAAGTAATATTTATTATTAGAATATAGAGATATTATAAGATACGCGTACTTTAAATTAGTTAAGAATAAGTATTTATAATATAAATTAAATAGATAATTATAAACTTTCGAGCTTAGCTCGAGATAAGCTTCTAAAAAAAGCTTTATAATTTATAAATAATTGAAAATTATTCGAGTTTCGTTAGTAGACTTCGAATTCTCGATTTTATCTATTATAATAGCTCGTATATTCTATAAAAATATATATCTATTTATAGACTTAGTAAGTTTATAGATATTATCTTCGAGACTATTCTAAATAAACTTTTTAAATATTACTTTATATAAGAAGGCTAGCGCTTTTAAGATTCTGAGAAAGTAGACTTTATATTAAATACTATATATACTTAATATATAATAAAGTTTATATAAGATAAATCTCTTAGATCTTTTCTATTAAAATACTTATATTAATATATTAATTATAATATTTATAATCTCTACTCTACTATAATAATAAGCGATTTAAAAATTAATCTTAATTCTAGCTTATTAGTCTATTTTTCAAATTCTAATAATAAGAAATATTACGAAAGACTTTAGCGAATTATTCTTTTAATAGAAAATATTTATTTAAGAGATATTTATGAAATAATAATATTAGTATTCTAAAAGTATTAAAGACTTTAATAGACTAGTATAAAAACTTATAATACTTACTAACTTAAATAATAAAAAGAATTAAGATTTTTAAAGATAATAATAGAGATATTTAAGGGGCTTAAATTCTTAAAGTAAGCTACTATGAGCTCTTAATATTTTAATATTCTACTTAAGATAGACTTAATTTACTAAAAATCTTAACGCTTAATCTCTTTCTTATCTTATAAGTTATTTCTAGAATTAAAAGAATTATTAGATTTTAAAGAATTAGTTTTCTTAAAGAAAGTCTTTAATATATTTTATTTAATAGCTTTCGAGATAATTATAGCGGACTTGAAATATATTAACAAATTATAATCTTTGTAGAAAATTATTTTCGAATTTACGATTCTTCGAACTTTCTTATCTTTTAATCTATCTTCTAGGAAAATAATAGAAAAATAAATTAAAATAAAAGTATCTATAGAATAAAACTATAGAATTTTAAGAATTAAATTAAACTATTTAGATCTTTCTAATTTTATAATAAATATAACTTTCGAAGTTATAAAGTATCGAATATTCTTTAGATTTCTTTTATATTAATTATAAGTTATATTTAATACTCTAATATAATATTATAATAATTCGCTATATATATAAAAAGATTTTTAAATCTAATTTTTAAAAGTAGATAAAGATATAAACTTAAAAGGCGTATTAGTTTAGAAGATATTATATTTATATTAAAATCTTAATTTATTTAAATATAAGATTTCTTAAAACTAATATCGAATTTATCTAGTTTTAATATAATAATAAAAATATAAAATATTTTATTTATATTTATAAGAGAGCTTAGAAAATATATATACTTCTTAGCTTTTATAGTAGAAATATTAATCTAAAATACGAATACTAATATAGTAGAGTTTTTTAAAGTCTATTAAGAAGACTAAGATATAAATACTTAAGATATTAATATAAAAGAAAATAACGATATAAGTTAATAGACTTATAAATACTCTAAAGATAGTATAGATATTTATAAAATTTATTAAATAAAAGTAGATTAAAAGCTAATTAAAGATACTTACATAGTATTTATAATAGACTTTAAAGTTTATTTCTTAAAAACTCGAGTATAAAAACATTTTAACTTCTTATATATAGTAGATAATTATATTATAAGATTTATTATACTTATATTAACTTTAATACTCTTAAATATATATTAAATCGATATAAGAGAATTATATTTAAATTTATTAAATAGATCTATTAAAGACTAAGATTCTACTTTCTTATTAACTCGCTTCTTATTCTTTATATTTAAAACGCTCTTCTTTTAAAGTAATTTAAAATAGATATAGCTAATTTTAAAAAGAAGATTCTTAATCTATAGCTATCGAAGGCTATTATAAATTTATTTAAATAAAAACTTATAATAAATAAAAAGAAGTATTCGAAATTTAGATTAATATTAAACTACTTTTATTAATATTAAGATATCTAAAATTACTATAATATAAATTACTATAATTAAATAAATACTAATTAAGATCTCTTAGATTACTTTTCTTATTATTATTAAGATATCGATATCGATATTAATATTAATACTAATACTTCTTTTATATAAGCTCATTTATTAGATTTTAATTCTTTATCGAGAAAAGCTTTAGCGATTTTTATATTAGCGAAATAAGATCGATTTAGTTCTACTACTTCGAATTATACTAAATTAGAATAAGATAAAATATAAGAATTTATAAAGCTTAAAGGCGTTATTTAACTCGATTTAGTAGAAGAAGAAGAAGAAGAAGAAGTTATAAAAGGCTTCGACGAAGAAATAATCTTATAGAGTCTAGAAGATTTATTAAACTTCTTAAACTTAACGAAAGTAAAGTTTAATTATAAATTATTCTCGAAAATAAGTATTTTTAGATATAACTATTTTTAAGTAGATAGTAAAGTACTCTTATAATAAGAAGAGATATAATTTTTAATATTATACTTAATATATAGCTAATTATCTTTCTTATAAGATTAATAAATTATATTATTAATATAAGAGTTTTTCGAAGTATTATAATTAAGATATATCTTTTAAAATAAATTAATAATTATAAAAGCGATTATTAGCTATAGAATTCGAGAATTCACTTTTATTAGCGTTTTCTTTATTAAGAATTCTAAGCTAAGATTAAAGTCGAAGTTAAAGTAAAATTAAAACTTTATATAAAGAATAACGATACTCTAGAGATTAAGATTATATAAAATATTAAGATCTCCGTAAAAGTCTCTAATAGCTACTTTCGATAAATTTATATAAAAAAATTAAGATTAATAATATAAGGAGTCTTAAAGCTTTAATAGCTTAATAAGAAGTAAATAAAAAAAGCTATCTACTACTTCGATAAGTTTTATTTTATAAGAGATTTATAGAATTATAGCTAATCGAATCTTAATTCTTTATTTAAAAGCTTCTAAATTTTCGACGTTAATACATTATACTTTTTTTCGCGAGATTATAAATTATATATAAAAATCGATTTAAAAATATTATATCTCTTATTACTTTCTTTTAAATCTTTTAATTATTTAATTCTCTAATAAAAGATATAAAGAATAATATTAAGTATAATAGATTTAAGAAGATTAAAGATAGTATTAAGAGTAATAGCGAGTTTATTCTTAATTTTAACTCTTTATATTAAGTTAATAATACGCTTAAAATAAAAAGTAAGAGATTCTTTAAAACGTTAATAAAGTTTTATAATCTCGATATTAAATAAAATCGCACTTACTTTTATAGCTTTTAAGAAAAACTTCTTATAAAATATAGCTCTAAAACTATTAGATTATTTATTAAGAAATTAATATACTCTACTTTAATAAGAAGTTAAATAGCTTTTAAATAACTTTCTAATTACTTAAAAGTATCGTTAATAAAAAGTATATTAAGATATTTTAGATATTTAACTAAGGGAAAATAATCTTCTTTATCTTAATAATTCTTTATATTAAAATTAAACTTTTAAAGTTACTTTAATATTAATATATTAATAATTCTCGAGAAATTATTATATATAGTAAATATAAAATAAGATATAATTACTTTTATAGTATTTTTACTAGACTATATAAAAGCTTTAAACTAATCTAAAGAAGACGTACTTCGATAAGATTCTAATAACGAGACTATAAAATTCGTAGAACTATTATTAAGAGAAATTCTTAAGAAAGTCTAAGATATTAAGACGATAGTAATAAGCTAATTCTTCGAGAAGATTTCTAATACTCGCTAGAATAATAATATTATAACTTACTTATTTTTATAGTAATAAGAGAGTTCTAATAAGTAATAACGATAATTTAGAAAATCGAGTTAGGTAATAGTAACTTCTTAAGATACTTATTAAAGACTTTTTAAGTCTTAAGAAGTAATTTAATAGATAAAAGAGGCTTTCTAAATTAAATAACTTAAGAAAGTACTTTTATAGTAAGATTTTTAGTAAGGAATTTAGTAGAAAAACGAATAACGATAAATTATAGGGAGAGGCCATACCGAGGAGTGAGCGGTGAGCCATAGATCCTAAGGCTGCGATCCCCATGAAACAACAGGGTGACGGACGAATCCTGGAGGTATATCACGTTTCCCCAATCGAGATGGGCGGCTGGACGATCAATATAGTCGATGTGCTTATCATCAGATGCCGCTTGCGCAGCCTCTCGCCACCTCTCTGGATGCTGTTCTTTGAACTCGGGGTCGAGGAGTAGATCGTGGTTTCCAGCTATAACGACCTTGTACTTGTGTGGCTGTTCCGATAGCCATGTGAGCTGAGCTTGTATCTCGGAAAATGTACCCCATTTGCTTAGGTCTCCAGCGTGAAGGAGGAGGTCACCGGGTGGGATGGGCGGATGCGTGCAGTGTGTGTCTGATATGCAGACGACCGTGAGAAGGTGGGTTGGGAGAGGAGGTGGACATGGGAGACGGTGGAGGGATCTGAGGGTCGAAGCGACAGAGCGGAGACGATGGCGTGGAAGCTTGATTATTCGAGGCGCTGACTCTGGTTCACGAGCGTTCGAACTCTTCCTTAAGGGAATGGACATGATTGAAGAGCGCGTACTTTAACGAGGGTGGGGTTGCAGAGGGCGGAACGGTTCCGCTGCATGGAACGATAGTTCTCGTCCAGGTGTTTCTTGAGTAGTGCTTCAACACTTTGCCGTTACTCTCGAGATAACCAAGAACGTGGTATCATATGTCAGGTCCAACACACAGATTGATAAATTATACCCATGCGACAGTATTTGTGCGCTCACCTCACGCTCTCGAGGGCATCTTGGCGCCGATCTCAGGAAGCCGAGACGGTCGATGATCACTCTCATGTGCTCTTAGGTTTGATGACACCTTAGGTACTACAGAGCTTTGGTACCTGTAGGCTATAGAGTATCGCGTCCTTTTAAAAAGACTGCGTCCCAGGGTCTCTCAAGCAGTGCTTCGAAACAGCGTTAAAAAGCTGCATAAGCGCCACCTTCAACACAAATGAGCGTCCTCTTTTAAACGCTCGTTGAAGCTGGTTGTTGCTCCTTGCTACGCCGCACGCTGGATATAACAAAGACTTGCAGGGGTTCTAAGCAGTATGGTGTGACACGCGAGGTCTCACGTTAGCAGTTCCACACGCTTGGCCAATAGTTTTTGATCTTAGAACGCAGAGCTGCACCGTCTCCTCCGCTAAGTGTACCCAATGAAACGGGATATTCACTCCTTGGGCGCGGATGGGGGCTGGCGTATGTCCAAGCCCACCAGCTCGTAAGTAGATAATGTGCCAACTAAAAGCAACGCGCTTGATAGGTATGCATTACTCATCAAGGGATATTGTAACCTTGAGAACAGGGTTGGTCTTGAACTGCCAATCATTTGGATTCTCTCCTAGTCCGCATAAGGAGAGCTTCATGAAACGAGCAACACTCCCAACCATGTCAACGGTGTCAACAGATTTAAGTAACGCTCTTTTAACACGTAGGTCGTTAAACATCTCAGTGCCCCAATAAAAAGATGGTAAGGTCGAAGTTCTTTCGTGAAGCTGCTAACCTAGAAGCCTTCCCTTTCTGTAAGCCTATCTTACTCTTCTTATACCCACGCTGACTGAAGCAGCCAAGATCACATCTCAATTTTCATACGCCTCAGTCCCCTGAGTCCTCGATATTCGAGATTGATCCGCCACTAACGTTAATATGGGCAACTGCATGTCGACGGAGAAAACGCCACATCGGGCCCAGGTGAACAACAATTCTGGACCTCGAGACTTGATGATGCACGTCCCCAGACCTCGAGTTGATTATGACGGAAGAGCTATCCGGATCGAGGATCACGAGCTCGACAGACGGACTCTCGAAGCAGCCTTGACAACGATGGCAGATTATATCGACAGGCAGGGTCAAAACATCACAATCATCACTGTTGGAGGCGCCGTAAATGCCCTGCTACTGCAGAACCGATTGTCAACCCACGACGTCGACTTCTCTGGGACGAATCTCAACAACGATCAGCGGATCTTGCTAGACGAGGCCGCGAGGTACACCGAAAGACAGAGCCAGACACCGCTAGGAGGCGAATGGTTCAATAACCAGACAATGCTCTGGCTCCCACCTAACGTCCATCGTAAGGTTACTCAGGAAGCACTCGAGCAAAACGAGGTTGTCTTTGAAAGGAGGGGACTGAAGGTGGTTGCCGCACCGTGGAACTACGCACTTTGCGGTAGAATGAATCGACTGGTTCGTCCAGATCAAGCTCGGCCGTACGATGGCACAGACGCGGCATCGTACCTCCACTATCATATCTTGAAGCACGGCGGACCTATTTCTGTAGCTAGAACCAAGCGGTGGTGCCAAGGATACCAGAAGGACACCGGTAACGATGTGATACGTGCAGTCAACGAGGAGTATCGGCGACTGTATAGGAGAAACGGAATCACTGGTTAGGCCATCCACGAAGTCTTTGCCAGCCTTTCAATTTGATACCTCAGTGCATGTTGGTTTTTTATGGAATGCTCCTTGTGACTCGTGAATCAGGAATGAGTTCCAGCTAAAATAGGGAATAGAATCAATGCGTTCTTTAAATGCTTAAAAATGCTTATTTCATAGGAGGGGTGTTGACTGGGTTTATCTGTTTTGGTCTGATTGATTTTATTCGGGTCAGGGATGAGACGTGTTGCTAAATCTGATTTTTCAATTTGATACCTCAGTGCATGTTGGTTCCTAGTTATCCCGGATTGCTGCGCGCTTGTTGTATGATCTATCAGGACCTGTGTACTTTAGTAGACTCATTCAAGCGTCCTTCCCTTCCTCGGCCTAGTCGAAATCAGGGAGCTAGTCATAAATTTTCGTGGTCATAATTCATGTAAAGTGGCCCCATATGAGTATGTTCTTGGGTTTGAGCCAGCTAGACGCCCTGGGGTCATCAAATCCCTCCATCACATTACTATTATGTGATGGCATGACCAGCGTTTGGAAGAGCTGCTACATTTTCCGTCCACTCAGGCACCTCTTCGTACTTCTTAGATGACTCCGGTCTAGTCCTAAGCTCTTCAGCTTCTTCCGGCGATATGATAGCCGGAGTGTCGCGAGCAAGGCCCAACTTGATCCTTTCATTGAATGACCTGACAAGTAAAGCAGGAATGCAAGCGAGGAATGCATATCGAGCTGGGTCCTCCTCCTCAGGGTCGGGAATATCTCTAACAGCCCAGCTACGCTGCTTCCAGGAGTATTCGAGCTGGTTTCGGTAGCCCGTGACGTTATCTAGAACAAAGAACTCGTAGAGGCGGTACAGAGCGTAAAGTGGTCTGTCGGCCAGTACGCCTTCTGGAACCAGATACTTGCGGCCTCGAAGAACAGCGGTATATTCTGATCGACGCTCCAGGATGTCTCGAGGAGGCGGTGGAGGGAAGGTCGGATATTCGTATAACAATGGTTGCGCTTGTTGATACTCCGCCTGGAAAGTATTGGGCTTGTCTTCTAGACGGTTATGTCGCCGAGAGCACAGATTAGAGAAAAAACGGGTTGTGGCTGACAGCATCCTAGCATAGGGCACCGACGGTCAAGGAAGTCTGAGATGTGAACGAAGGCTTTAGCGTTGTTACTCTGAATCACACTTCAGAGAGGGACTTGACTGGGTTGGCTGCGTTATGCTCAAATTACTGATAGCCCGAGCAGCGTGGTTCGTCTTCATCGTTAACCCGTATTTCTAGGCCGCTTTTAATCTTCGAGTACAGATAACAGTGACAACAACAAGAAGTCGAAGAATTCTATAGATTTGCGCGCACACTAATAGACGTTAGCGCACCGAGGTTCTTCCGAAAAACGCCCCGTACAAGGGTGGTTTGTGTTGGCAATATAATAGGCTATACCCAATACAATTAGGGCTAGGGCTATATATAAATACTATGTAAATAGATCGCATATATAGATAGATAGAATATAAGAAAAGAACTTTATATAGTAGATATCATGGGCCTAATATAAATGTAAAAAGTCGCTTACCAAATCACTAGAGATTTATCTCTTCGAGTTATTCGATTTCGACTTATAGTCTATAGTAAATCGAATCGCTTTAAGAGATATATCTTAGTCTTTTAAGCGTATTAGTTTTATATATACGCTAAGTAAACTAATTACTTTAATATATTATAGTTATAACTATATAACTATTATTTATAACTATATTACTTATAACTACTATTATTAATAACTATATTATCTATAACTACTATTATCTATAATTATATTATCTATAGCTATATTTATCTATAACTATATAACTATAGCCTTTAACTATATTATAGCTAATAGCTATAAGTCGTAGCTAATAGTTATAAGCCGTTAAAACTAATACTCTCTCTTTATTTAGCTATTAGAAAGATAGAGATAATAGAGTAAATAGTTAATATTACTCTTCGAAAAGATCTTTATAGAGAAAGTAGAGAAAGTAGAGAAATAACGTAAACTTTTAATACGGCTCTTTAGTTTATTCTTCTAAGATATATAGTAGCCCTTACGTATAATAAGATTATTTTAAGAAAGTGAATTTAAGTCTTATATAATATCGAACTTTCTCGATAACGGCCTTCTAATTAGTCGGATGACTATATATTCTAAATAGCTCTCTATACTATTTAAATAGCTTCTTATTTAGCGATTTAATAAGAATATCTACTACTATTTAAACTATAGATATATAATCTATATTAACTACCTCGTTCTTAATTAATTAGTAAATATAATAATATTAAATATCGATATATTTAATTCTTTAATAATACTCGAGATTCTTTATAAGACTAATAGTCTTCTTATTATTATCGAGTAATATTATAGAGTCTTTATCTAATACTCGAAAACGGATTTCTTATAATTATCGTATCGTCTATATAATAGTCTTATCTCCTTCTATTAAAGTTACAAGTAAAGGCCCATGAATTAAATTTATGAAGTTGGATTTTTCTAAGTCAAATCGAATTTTAGCCCTAGCCCTATTAGTCAAATCGAACTCCTGATCGCTTGCTGTGCGTTTTTAACCTACTTCCACCACTATAAAATTGATTTAATCTATGTAGTATATAGGCATATATGTGCGGAGAGAGGCGCGCTAAGGCCTAATTAGGAAGGTGTAATAACTGCCTATAAAAAATAGAGAAAGGCTATGTCTTTATGGTAAGAAGTATCGAAATATCGGAAAGAAATGGAGATAACGTGCCAATTAGTGGTGTGAATCCCACAATATCTCCTGTCGCAGTGAAATTTTTCGAATAATGAAATAGCTGTAGATATCGGACGGTTTTAATTCGTCCAAATATGCATCGTTTCGGAGTGATGATTTGATGTGGAACCGTGGAGAGTATATGACGTGGGATCTTGGAGAGCTGAGCCGTGTTCTTGGTGCTGGGGGCCTTGTTGCCGCTTGGTTTCTCCGCAGTGTTCTCCGCATTTGCCTGTTGTAGTTCCTTCTCTTACTCCTTCTCTTGTAGAGTATTAGACTAAGTGGCTAGCTGAGTGGCTGACTGAGTGGATAACTGATATGACGTGGGATCTTGGAGAGCTGAGCCGTGTTCTTGACGATGGTGGCCTTGTTGCCGCTTGGTTTCTCCGCAGTGTTCTCCGCATTTGCCTGTTGTAGTTCCTCCTCTTACTGCTCAATGCAGTGGGGATGATAGGCCAAGTTATAGTGGTGTTCTCCGCTTGCTGAGTGATGATTTGATGTGGAATCGTGGAGAGTATATGACGTGGGATCTTGGAGAGCTGAGCCTGTTCTTGGTGCTGGGGGGCCTTGTTGTCGCTTGGTTTCTCCGCAGTGTTCTCCGTATTCGCCTGCTGTAGTGACTTCTCTTGCACTGGCTGAGTGGATTGGTGTGAGATCGTGGAGAGTAGGCCTGTTGTGTCACTGCTGCTGATGACTGTCTCCGCAATGTTCTCCGCAGTGTTCTCCGTATTCGCCTGTTGTAGATCCTCCTCTTGTTTAACTAAGTGGAGGGTATCGAGGGTAAATGTGTTTATATTAGTGGAATTGGTAGAATTAGTAGAATTGATAGAATTGATAGAATGGTGGAAGAAGAATGATTACATAAATAGGTGGAAGGATTATTATCCGATCCCGGACGCGTTTGGTGTGATTACAATATTTGAATGTTAGTTTAATCTATCTATCGCTGGCTTAGAAGGAGTATATAGGGGAGGATGTATCCGTTCGGCTTCTTTTTAAGGGCCTTTTAATGCGTTTATAAGTAGTAGTAGATAGCTGTTAAACTCGCTTACGGCCTCGATTGTTAGTAGTAGCGAATTCGCCGAGGAGTGGCTTAAGGGCGTTAGTAAGGGGCTCTAATTAAGCGAGGGGTACCGAAGACGATTATGTTCACATTAGTGGAATTGGTAGAATTGATAGAATTGATAGAATTGATAGAATTGGTAGAATGGTGGAAGAATAATAAACAGGTGGAAGGATTAGTGTGATTACCATGACTATTATATTTGAATATTCATTTAATCCACCAATAGTAGGCTAAACTTTATTATTTTTACAGCGTTAGAAAGCGCATACTGAGCTCTATAATTTACGAAATTATAAAGTAATAGTATCCTTAGGGAGCTGGTTATTTTAGAGGGTAAGACTTCTGTATATAGATTTTTGTAGATTTTTGATGGTTGCGGACGCTAATTTATTTACCCGCGGTGTCTAACCAAAAAGCGTAGACCTAACGAATTGATAATTGGCTATATATATAAATTCAAGGTTTTCTAGTTTAGCCCTACCTTATTCTTTTATATATACTAATATACTAAACTTTTATAGTAGATATAGCTACCTCTCGCTATTTTCGACTATATTATAAATATACTACTTATTTATATAGTAAAGCGAATTCGTAGATGAACTTATAGTTCTTCTAGTTATTATCGTATACGGAATTCGTAAATTCTTTTAATATTTCTATCTCTTAATAGCGTAATTCTAAGAATATAATACCTCGTATATACTTAAGTACTCGATTTACGGCGTTTATATAGCGAATAATAAAATTATAATAGAATTAACTAAGCTTTTTTATAATAAAGGTTATATTAATTTATATATTAGTTATAAGAAATATAAGATTTTCTATTTACTTCTAATATTATAACTAATTCGTATATTCTTCTTCTAATTAATCTAATTAAATTAATTTATATTTATCGATAGAGGTGTAAATAAAAGTCGCCTAGTTTATTAAATATTCTTTAAGTATCTTTTCGACGTATTATACTTATTTAATAATTAAGATATAAGATTTTTAATTACGGTAAATTTAAATATCGAGGATATAATTAATTAGACCTACTTCGATAGCCTTAAATTCTTTATAAATTTAATATTTAATATAGTTTATAGTACTTTATAGCTTAGCTCTAATAAGAATATCGTTTATATAAAGCGTTATAATAGCTATTCTCTCTAATAATACTCGAATAAAGATATAGCTATTAGCTATAGTAGCTATAAATCTTATTTTCTTAATAGTATACTTAAATTTCTTATTTTAGATATAAACTAATTATTTAAGACTATATAATTCTTTTTAAAGAAGTAATATCTTACTCTTAGTATTAATTGCTAATAGATAGTCTAATAATAAGATTATATAGATTTTTTTATAGAGGTCGCTATTAAGATAAGTATTATTAATATCTATTTATTCTATTAGAAGATTTATTATTATTATATATAATAGAAATAGATATAAGAAGTTAAATTATAAAATAGGAGTAAAGGTCTTATAGAAGTCGATATTTTCTACTTACGTAAACTCTCTAATAATAAATCTAATCTTAAATTTATTAATAGTTCTATCGCTATTATATTTAATCTTAAAAACTTATTTATAGATAATTAGGCGTCTATTAGCCGATAGAGTAGCGAGCTTTTAAATTTCTTTAATAATTAAAACGATAATTTTCTTAATAATAGCTTATTTCTATTCGCGAGCGTTTAATTTATAAATAACTTTCTAATAGATAAGAGGTTTAATTATAATATTTATAAGCTTAGCTTTATTCTTTATATCGAAGTTATTATAGAACTTATAGAGATTATAGTTTAGCTTCTTAATATAAGACTATTATATAGAGATAGCGATCTAAGATATAAGACGTCGTTTAATATAATTAGAAGAGTTAAGAGTAGATATAGATATAATAGATTATTAAATAGTATTCTTAGATATTATCTCTTAATTTATTATTTCTTTACTACTTAAGATATTAAGAGTCTCTTTAGCTTCGCGAAGATCTAACGAAGATTTCGATTTAATTTAATATATATTTAGACTACTTAATCTCGAATCTCTACTATTATTTATATTTTCTAAGAAGTTAGTAGAAACTTCTCTCTCTATTTAAAAATCTCGTATATCTTTAATTTCTTCGATTTATAACGACGATATAATATTCGATATAGACCTCTTATAGTTCTTCTTATTATCGTTATCGCTAGATATAATCTTAATACTATTCTAAATAAAGGCGTTATTAAGATTATTATTATTTTAG